ATTCTTATTTTTTACTCCTAAAAAATTCTCTTACATTTACTATTCCCTTATTCAGATATTTTCTGCGGATTTAAAAAAATATTTTTTTATAATTTTTTAAAAATCTTTTAAAAATATTTTTTCACTTGAGTCAATTGAAGTGCCCCTGGGGACAATTTGCAATACTCTATTCACATTCTCCGTTCGTTTTTTAATATCCATTCATCATTTTTGCTTTTTCTTTTTATTTTATTTCTTTGTCTAATACCTTAAAAAACTCAACAAAATTTTAAATCAATATTTTAAAAAAATATTTGTTTGAAAAAATAATTACTAAATTCCTTCCGAACATTTAAAATAAATTGTTTTATTTTATCAATTAAGATCGTCAAAAATTGTATAACAAACAAAATAATGAATAAATTACTTCCTTATATTTTATTTTTCCTCTAAGAAAAATTGTGTTAAAAGTATAAAGTCTATTAGTAAAACACCTGTTAATTTTCCTTTTTCCACAATTGACATTTGTATGTGAAAATTAAATAGAAGTTTTATTAGTTCAAATGAAAAAAATGAGTAAAAATGTGAATACTTGAAGGTTTTGTTAGAACTTTGAGTAGTAAGATTGATTACTTAGTTACTGAAACATAAGATAAAATTTAGATTTAAAAACCGATTACCTGCTAACTAAATAATGAAAAGAAAGTTTTTCCTCGCTTTATTCTCTTTAACAAAAGAAGCATTACTCAAACTTTTAATAACCAACATTAATTTTAAGCTTAGAATATTTTAAATAATTCAAAAATCGCTAAATTAAACTTGTAAAGGATTTCCATATAATAATGTAAACACAAAAAATGTTGACTATTTTTGCACTAACGGGGAAAATATTTTCTGATATGTATGTCTAGGGATATCCAACTAGGGTTCTTCTATTCTTAACTATTTATTATACTTAATTTATTTTCCATGTAAAGTACAAAGAATAATGGAGAGAATTCGGTGTCGAGACTTGGATGGGAAAGTCGGGAGACCTTTATACTTAGAAGTATGTGAAAATATTATTGTTTATTTGATTAAGCAATTACAGCAGTCATGTTCTACATAGCTTCATTCATGTCTACTTATTTGAACCTTTATATTTTTTTCATTGCTTTCCGATTGACATTTCCGACATAAACTCTTTTATTTCATTGTTTTTTAGACGTTTACTTTTAAAAAGTTATAAAACCTTTTCACATTTATTTACCTCTTTCTCGCATCAAATGCTTAGAAAGGCGGCAATATCTTCTTTGACTTGTCTTTTATTCCCTTCTTCAAAGCTTTTTTGTTCATTTCCTTCCCCCTCCTTTTTTCATTCACAATCCAGAAAAATAAAATTTAAATTTTTTCATTTTTATCCCATCATATAAGGAGGAGGGGGGAGGGATAATCTGCATAAGTCAACTAAATTCTTTTTTTGCTTTTGGCAATTGTTTCTTCGCTAAACTTTTCCCTTTTTATCCCTTAAGGACATAGTAAACGTAATTTCAATAATTTTACCAGAACATTTTACTTTTTTTTTTGCCGAACAATGGTTAAGAACGGCAAAAAATTAGCTGAGAGAATCTGTCAGAATAAATGCCACAAACATTTTTTATTTCATTAATTCAGTTTTTTCTTCTCCTTTTCCCACACTTTTTTTTTATTTTCAGGATGGTTAATTTGCATTAATTTACTTGTTTTGCATTTACTATCAACAATTCTTTTTTCCCCCTTGCCTTTGGTTGCCATCCTTTTTTTCTAAATCTTGCAGAAATTTCTAACCATTTTTTTGTTTTTAAAAATTAAAGTTAAGAAAATTAATTAAAATAAATGAAAGTTTGTTTTAGAAAAGTAAAAATACTTTTTACAATAAAAACGTTGAGGGGGAGGCGAAAAATGAGAAATGCCTTGCAGTAATGTTGGGGATATCTTAATGAAATCCGAGAAGATAAAAAATATGTAAATATTGAGTGAAAACTGTCCATCGATACATAAATTGTGGCATTTTTTTCAAACTACTTATTTGTTTATTTATTTAAAAATGTTCTGTAGTGTTTCCAATGTTGTTAAAATAAAATAACATTTTTGTATTAAGTTTTAATTATAATATAGTACATATGCTAATAATTTTTATTTTTTTAAAAATATTTTTAATTAATTTATTTATTTATTTTCCACTTTTATTTCCCTAACAATTTATTTATTGGATTTTATTTTTATTTCTTTGTCTGCTGTCCACAATTCAAGTCTTAAAAAATTCCACTTTTCTTGTCCGCTCATTAACTCAATTTGCCTTTCTTTTAAAAATCTGTTTGGAATTTTTCAAACAAATCTTGTGACTTTTCTTTTATTTTCTTCTCTTTTTATCACCTTAAAACTTTAAAAAATAAATATATCTTTTTAATAAGTTTAACTAAAAGAATTTTTATCGAAAATCTATTTATTCTTTTGAAATATTTTCACATAAAAGTTTTTTTTGTAATATCTTTCTTGTATAAATTATCTATTTATCAATAATTTCACTTCAGGGTAAATGTCCAGTTGGCGGTCTACATGTCCGCAAAGAGAATCTGCTCTTTTCTTTCCTTTACTTGCATTTTTTGCGTTGGGAGAAATGCTCCGTTCATTTTTCCTTTTCTTCCATTTTTCCTTCTTAATACAGTATGTTTTCCTGTTCATACTTGAAAAATAAAAATACCTCTTAATTAGAAAAAAATTTTTACAAATCATAGATTTAGATTTACAAACAATAGATCTATGGCTTTCTAATAAGCCCAAAATAATGATCTAAAAAATTTCAAAATAATATTTAAGGAGACATAACCTGTTCTACGTTGAATTTCTTGTTTCAGGATATCGATATTGAGTAAAAACATGGGCCGAGTTTTTACATCCATCCTCCCCCTCATAGTTTTTATTAGAGCTCTAACCCGGGCCGGGACCGAGTTTTCCGGGCCCGGTAGCTCGGTCCGGGCCCGGTATTTATTTATTTTAACGGGTATTTTGTAAAATAAATAATTTTTTTCTAATTAGGGTATTTTTATTTTTCAAGTATGAACAGGAAAACATACCGTATTGAGAAGGAAAAATGGCAGAAAAGTCAAAATGAGTGGAGCACTTCTCCCAACGCAAAAAGAGCAAGAAAAGGAAAGAAAAGAGCAGATTCTCTTTGCGGACATGTAGACCGCCAACTGGACATTTACCTCACTTCAGATTTTGTTTTTTTCATTTCTAAAAATAACATCCATAATATTTAATTATTTTTATAATAATCGTCAAAAATATTTTTAAATTGTAGTTTTTGTAGTCTTGGCTACAATATCCAATTTTAAACAAAAAATTATGAGAAGCTTTCAAAGAAATATTTATTTATTTATCCGTTATAATTTTATTTTTAATTTATCGGAACAATTTTCATGAAAAAAAGTTAAACTCTCACTAAATCGTTGCCTTTTCTATTAGCCTACTTTTCTTTATTTTTACAAATAAACTCTCTAATTAAATTTTTTTTTTTGTTTTTTACCTAAAAGCGAGGAGGTAAAGGAAAAGAAAAAATAACAATTTCGCTTTTCCGCGCCTCGTTGGTTTATGTGCCTGGAAGGAAAGCGTGATAAAATGAAAAATTTAAGAAAAATTGCCGAGAATATTTATATACCTAATTTGTATAATATTTATAAGAAAATACTAAATATTTACATATTCTGTTTTGTTTAATAATTTAAACTAGGGTTGGATTCAGACCCCGTTTAACTTTAAACCGAACCCCAACCTTTTCCGGCTAAAATCCTGACTCTTAGAACCAAGACAGAATCTTGAACAAAAATCTCTGTCGATATTTTTCGAAATATCGATCTCCATTCTCATACAAACATTTTTCGAGATTTTGAGAAAATTCTTTCTCTCTTGATCCCCCAAATCTTCTAATATTTTCTGTTAAATCTTTTTTAAAAATTTTTCCTCCCTTGCTAAAGAGATGAATTGTAAAATTCTATACAGAATTTTAATAAAAGGGGAGGGAAAATACATTAAATTAAATAAATCCAAAAATTAACTAAATTCTTTAACAACTTTTATTTTCCAATTATCAAAATTAACAATTTAACAAGTAAATATTCTCCTTTCAAAATGGGCCCAAATCTTTTAACAAACATATATCAGGAAAATCAAAAGGGGGAGAAACTTCAAATCTGACTGGGGAAGGAACGGATAAAAAACTTCAATAACAAATCTTCAGGGGGAGGAAAAATGTAGTTCAAAAAACTTTACTTTAAAACTTTAAACGGGGAAGAGGAATATTTTAGTTCATAAACTTTATATTTTCGGAGGAAGGAAACAGTTCAGAAACTGAGCCAAACTGCTCAAAATTCCATTTATATATTTGGGTTGATATGTGCAAAAAGAAGGAGGTGTTTGCACATTTTCATTCAAAATTAGTTGGCCAAAATAACCCGTGCAAAGGGTTGCAAAGATAGAACGAAAGGGAAGAGAAAGGACATTTTTCAGACAGGATCAAAATACACAAAAAATACAAAAAAACTTTTCCTAGTTAAATTGAGCGGGCCAGAGATTTAAAAGAATGGGGAGAAAAAAAGCACGGGCCAACAACATAAATTAGCATTTTCTAGACTGTCGTAAAAAAAGGGTGGCGGGCAATTGGACGGGTTTGAAAAATGGCCCAAACCAAAGATTAAAATAAAAGGATCAAATCTCCAGATTTGACACTCGGGACGGCAAAAGAAAAAAAATCCAATAGAATACGGGGTTGTTGATAATTGGGTAGTTGGTTCAATATTCATCATTTCTTTATTTTCTTTCTTTCAAAACATTTAACTTCATGTAGAGGGCCATAAGCATATTCCAGCACGAAGAAGGGAGGACAAAAAGGAAGATTTTGGATTTGAGAAAAAAATATGAATTAATTTCGTATAATAAAGATGAGATTAACCTGAAACAACTAATTGAATTTTGATGCAGTCCATTCCATTCCATGTTGAGCATTAGCAGTAAATAATGTAGGAAATTAACAGGAGTACAAAGGATTTGTAAAGATGAAATAGATGGGAAAGGGGTTTACATTTTATATTAGCTAGTTCAATCATAACAGAAAGGGGTGATCCAAGGCTATAGAAAATTTTCTGATGATACTTCGGCAAACGAATTTGTACTTGTGATGTAAAGATAGGGTTAATCTCATTAAAATGAGCAACTATGCTCGAGGGGGTGTAATGTATAATTTCATTCTGTGGAGCCATTTTAAATTCTCTAAAGGATCGTTCTGGGATTGGAAGGGGGTTCGACAAATTCTTTTGGGGTTTACGGGACTTTTTTAGTGATGCTTTTTTACGGGACATTTTTAGCAATCTTTCCACACAATTACTATTGTTGTTTATTATTTTCTTCACTTTCAATATTTCTTTTGATGATTTAATAGTAGTTTCTGCTGAATAATTATTAGTAGTTTCAGATGAGGAATTAAAAGTAAAAGTTGGAGTAGACTGTTGTAAATCTTCAAGAGATAGAAGGGGATCTTCTGGGGATAAATCCGGAATTGGGTTATTAATCAAAACAAGGGGCATTTCTTTAGAATAATTATAAGCTTTAACTTCATTGTCTTCATTTAAAGTCTCTTGTAGGGGGGTAAATTCGTTACAAATATTTTTAATAATACAAACATCATCAATATGAGTAAAGCCGGGAGGGGGACTAATGGGTCTTTTATTAATAATTTCATTTGTAAGTCTTTTATTCAATACAATTTTTTCGTTCATCTGATTGTTTAAATCGTTAGGGTCATTTTCAACATTTATTTCTTCTAGAGGGGAAAAACCAGGAGGGATAGCAAGTGGGTTAAATTTATTCATTTCTTTAGTATAACTTTTGACGGAGGGGATCGGATTATTAACTAATTTCTCATCGGAGTGTTTTGTAATCGAAGGGTTGGAATACAAATAAAAATTAGAGGAGGTCCGGTTTCGATAAGATTTATCACTAGAATTTGTATAAACTGGTTTTAACGAGTCTTGAGTATTTTCATTAAATGGTCTATTCTGGGAAGGGTTTAAAGGAGGAAGTTCAGGAAGGAGATGGGAATGGTCAAATTGGGGTTTAATCTTAGGTAGTTTATTTTCTAATTCATTACGGGAATTCCGAAGCTTTCGTGCATACCGTTTAAGGTCGTACATAACTTTAATGTAATCTGTTTCTTGGAGGAATTTTTCTAAAATTTGGCTATCATTTGCCCTTTCATTTTCTGTCATCGAAATTCTTAAGTTTTGCCATGAATCGTGGGCCATTTTAAAATCATTAAGGATTTTGGTTATCTCTTGGGTGGTAAGGTCTATTTCATCAATTAGGGCCTGAGTAGATTCGGGAGATTGGGTTTTAAAATTATTATAATCTTCTATAAGGGCAGAGAACGGGCTAGGGAGAAGTATCTCTTTAGTGACGGAACAAAGCTGGGACAACTGATTTCTATAAGTTAGGGACATTTTTTTTTAAAAAGCAATAAATAATTTGGACTTTTAAAATCAAACAAAATATAAACTTTTAATGAATAACGGGACAACAAAACTTTAAAAAAAATATTTATGAAAAGGGTGGATTAGAAATAGATCTCGGATCTTCACCGGCTGAGCTGTAAAATTCTATACAGAATTTTAATAAAAGGGGAGGGAAAATACATTAAATTAAATAAATCCAAAAATTAACTAAATTCTTTAACAACTTTTATTTTCCAATTATCAAAATTAACAATTTAACAAGTAAATATTCTCCTTTCAAAATGGGCCCAAATCTTTTAACAAACATATATCAGGAAAATCAAAAGGGGGAGAAACTTCAAATCTGACTGGGGAAGGAACGGATAAAAAACTTCAATAACAAATCTTCAGGGGGAGGAAAAATGTAGTTCAAAAAACTTTACTTTAAAACTTTAAACGGGGAAGAGGAATATTTTAGTTCATAAACTTTATATTTTCGGAGGAAGGAAACAGTTCAGAAACTGAGCCAAACTGCTCAAAATTCCATTTATATATTTGGGTTGATATGTGCAAAAAGAAGGAGGTGTTTGCACATTTTCATTCAAAATTAGTTGGCCAAAATAACCCGTGCAAAGGGTTGCAAAGATAGAACGAAAGGGAAGAGAAAGGACATTTTTCAGACAGGATCAAAATACACAAAAAATACAAAAAAACTTTTCCTAGTTAAATTGAGCGGGCCAGAGATTTAAAAGAATGGGGAGAAAAAAAGCACGGGCCAACAACATAAATTAGCATTTTCTAGACTGTCGTAAAAAAAGGGTGGCGGGCAATTGGACGGGTTTGAAAAATGGCCCAAACCAAAGATTAAAATAAAAGGATCAAATCTCCAGATTTGACAGAATTTTCAAGAAAAACTCCAACACTGAATTTTCAACCTCTGTCTCGGAAACGAAGAAAAATTCGTATCCGGAATTAAAACTGGGAAAAAAAGGGGGGAAATCTTAAATTCCAAAAAAAAATTCACCAAAAAGCAAAATTCAACAACAATTTATTTTCTCAACAAAAATCTTTAAAACAACAAAACACAAAATATTGTTCTTTCCAAAATTAAACAAATGCACGAAAAAAAGGGGGAAAAACAGGACAAATTAATTTTTAACTGCAAAAAATCCAAAAACTGAGAAAACTGAATAACTGAATAACACCCAAAAACTGAATAATTATTTTTGTTAGGAAATAGAAAAAAAGGGACAAAAGGGCGGGGAAAGGCCAATTTGCATTATTTCATTTGAGCGGGCCAAAAAATATTTAAAGAAAAATGATGACAATTCTTTTGGCCAAAGATTAATATAAAATAAATATTTCAAATCTAAAAGATTTGACATTCGGGGGAAACCAAAAACTGGATGAGGACATAAGGGAGATTGAAAAAAAATTGGTTTAAAGCTGGTGAGGGACGGGCGGGGAGGTACGTTTGAAATTAAATAAATTTTACGGTATTGGTACATCTATGGTTTTCCTTTATCTTCATTGATTATTCGTCCCCTGTTGAATTCATTTTGAGTTCCAACTTCATTCTTTAGGCCATAACATATTGTCAAGAGATGCAACGGTGAGAAAAGAGAGTAAATTTTGGGAATTAGTTTTTACATTTAAATATATTATTACCGGTTTTGGATACCACTGTAGTTAGATAAGGGGGAACGGAAGTGTTGGATTTCGTAGTGACCATTTCAGTAAGATTCATAACATATTGTGTATTAGTCCATTTAGTCCAAAACATATTGAGCCAGAGCAACAATTAATGGGATTTTCCAACAGAAGGAATATAAAGGATTTGAAAAGATGGTATCGGTGGGAATTGGGCTTATAGTTTATATTCATAAATTCAATCTCGATACGGGGGGAAAATTCAGGAGTAAAGGTATTTATTGAGGGGGGACTTTTCAATATTCTAGGGATAGAGCCATTGTAATCTTTAGAAAAATCATTTTCATTTAATACAAAAGAAAAGGTACAGGGAAATATTAAATTCTTATCTGAGTCATTCTCGTTTTCGTCTTTCGGTTCTATAAGGGGATACTTGATTTTATCTAATGGGGGATTTCCAGAATCTATAATACATATCAGAGGAATATTGGCAAGGGGTGGCGATTTAATTCCATAAATACTTGATGGCTTTCGGGTTTTTAATTTTAACAATTTATTTTTAAAATTGCGGGACAAAAAGGGATTATCTTCAATAAAATCCTCAGACAATGATTTTATTCTCTTAAAGTCGGAATTTCTCAAATTTACAATTTTCTTTCCCTTTAATTCTTTAGAGGAAGGGTTATTATCTCTCGTAAAGGTTTCAATGGGTAATGTCACATTATTACAGTAAGTATGAGTACTAATCGGGTCAGGACTTTTGGCGGTGCCGTTGATCGAATTAAAAATGTTTTCATTTAATCTAACAGATTTTTCTTCTTCAAACCTTAAATTTATAATTTGGGTAGTTAATACAATTTCTTCACAATTAATAATGTTGTTTATTACTTCCTTTTCTTCCAATATAAATTCTGATGTAGAAGCATAATTTGTTACGGAGGAAATCGAATTTTGTATATTATGGGAGCAGATAATGGGGTGAGATAATGGGGGAATATATGGAGGGGAGGTACTGATCAGAGCAGGGGTGGATTCTTCTGAATTAATGTGTATCTCTTCTTCATATCCTTCATTTATAAGTTCGGGTATCGGGTCAATTCTTCACAAACAGAATATTTTAAAGCTTCATACTTATTCTTATCAGTAATACAAATCTCTTCAAGGGAGGGGAAGACTGGAGGTGGACCAATGGAAATTTCATTATAATATTAGAGTTAAAACCGGTAGGGTTATAGTCCAAAATGTGAGAGCCAGAAATATCATTCGTTTCATTTTTTAAAGCAACCGATTGATTGACATAAAATTGTTTTGTAATAATGGGATAGGAACTAGTTTGAGAATTGGCTGGGTTTCGATGAGGGTGATCGTTGAGATTATTATATTGTGGGTTTGGAGAGCTTTTAAGCATTTCATTAACAGGCTTATTGTGAGAATTATTCTGAGAAGGGTTTGAGGTTTGTAAACATTCATGGGACAAATTTAATTCCGGGAGGCGATAAAATTGTGAAAGATGTAATAACTGTGATGTGGGTTTTGGGAGAGCCTCTTCTAAATTAGATCGGGCTGTACGTAATGTTCTGTTATATCGTTTAAGGTCATGCATACTTTTGATATAGGAAGTCTCTTGTAGGAATGTATCATATATGTGAGTATCTTGGGCTCTTTCGGATTCTGTCATGGAAATTCTTAGGGACATCCAACCATTATGTGCAGTTGTTAGGTTTTCCAAGATCTTGGAAGTGATCTTTTGAATAATATCGAGGGATTTGATTGTTTCTTGGACACAAGTTTGGAATTCTTTTTCGGAGTTGTGAGGATTCTTTATAGGAAGGGGGAACTGTTTATTTTCTCGCAAAATTAATTCAGCACCTGTACATATTTGAGTAATTTGTTTTCGAAAGGTAAGAGACATTTCTTGATTAGGTGGAAAAATTATGAATAAGTTTCAACAAAATAGAAAGGGTAGAAAATTCTCGAAATTTAAGGGAAGAATTAAAATACGAAAGAAATAAATCGAATTAAAAAATTGGGGTGGAAAAATTCAAAAACTTTAGAAGAAAAAATTGGGACCGGAATTCAGGTGGTCACCGGCTGAGCTGTCTCGGAAACGAAGAAAAATTCGTATCCGGAATTAAAACTGGGAAAAAAAGGGGGGAAATCTTAAATTCCAAAAAAAAATTCACCAAAAAGCAAAATTCAACAACAATTTATTTTCTCAACAAAAATCTTTAAAACAACAAAACACAAAATATTGTTCTTTCCAAAATTAAACAAATGCACGAAAAAAAGGGGGAAAAACAGGACAAATTAATTTTTAACTGCAAAAAATCCAAAAACTGAGAAAACTGAATAACTGAATAACACCCAAAAACTGAATAATTATTTTTGTTAGGAAATAGAAAAAAAGGGACAAAAGGGCGGGGAAAGGCCAATTTGCATTATTTCATTTGAGCGGGCCAAAAAATATTTAAAGAAAAATGATGACAATTCTTTTGGCCAAAGATTAATATAAAATAAATATTTCAAATCTAAAAGATTTGACACCTCTATCCAGTTTTAGCATAAAATAGTGATTTTTGAGACGTTTAAAACATTTTAAGTCTTGAAATTGAGAAACAGGTTCCTATTCTAATGCAAAAATCGGTCTAAAAATATTTGAAATAGGCCAAATAAGTTAAATTTCAACAAAATAGGTCCATATTTTGGTCAAAATTCTAATCTTTAAAGATTCACACTTACTTTTTCATTAGATTTTATTTCTAAAGTTTATTATTAAATATAAATTGTATATATCCTCTAAAATAATCCTCTAAAATATCCACTAAAATAATTATAAATTTAGTCAATTTTTTATCAAATAAACGCAACACTTATTTTCAATAATGATAGTTCAACGGCATTATTTTTGAAATTAAAATTATAGAAAATTAAAAAGTGAGTATAGAGGGTTTGAACACAAAAATTGTTCTGTTGGGAATAAATTTAACTTGCTTCAAATTTTCTTTTTTCTTCGAATGGACAACGAACACAATCATCAAAAACAACAAAAAATATTAACAAAAGAACAACAAGAAAAACATAAAAATGAAATTAATGTTTGTTCTGTTAAAAATTCTGAAGAGAAAATAAAAGAAAATGAAGAATTAATACAACCTCTACATGTTGAAATACCTGAAAATCAACCACAGAAAATTATAATTGATAAACAATGTAGCGAAGAGGAAAGAATTAGGTAATTGAACGGAAATTAAAATAAACAAATTTTAAATCAATTTAATAATTACATAACATTAAAAAACTTAAAATAACATTTTTTTATTTTTTTTACAAATATTTTTAGTAAAACTCCCCATCATTTATTAAATTCTAAACAACAAGGAAGGAATAAAGAAATTAAACAGCCTCTATTGCTTCAACAGCATTCACCTAAATTTAAGCAAAATTGTTCTTTATCTACCGGTTGTTGTCCTTGCTGTACAAATACACAAAATGGTATTTTATTATTATTTAAAACTAGTCATCATTAATTATTTAATATTATTTAATTTTTTAAAATATGTACAAAAATATTTAAAACTCATTCCTATTAAGAAATTACTTCATTTACACCTCCTCCAAATTTAACAACGGTAGCCGACCGTTTTGTTCTTCAGCATTACAGTAAAGCTGGCAGTGGTGGAACATTGCCCATAAGTGGAATTCCTCGTAAAAAGGCTCCCCAGCACAGACGATTACGAAAATATGCGTCTGAGACAAGTTTTTGTTCATCTCCTGGGAGTAGTTTTGGAAGTGTTGGGAGTGGTGCTAGCCTTTTGCATCCAAGTCAGTGTCCTGGACGTATTAGAACAGTTACTTTGATGAATGGACGTAGTAGAAATTCTGGTGGAGATTTGGGTGAGGAGACCCCATCTCCTCCATTAATTATTACTGCTGCACCAAATCCTCATACTTATCAAGGCGAGTTTTAGTTTATAGAAATGGATATATTAATTCTATATAAAAAATATTTTAGGATGTGAACGTGAAGTACGCACCGGTGCTCGTGTTTTTCATGTTCGTCCATCTGGTACCTCGTCTCAACAATCAGCACATTTAGCCTGTGCTGGCAGTAATACATTAATTAATCGATTACATCATCAACGTCGTTGCCAACCACAACAACAACTTTCACAATCTCCGCAAAGCCAAGAAATTCGTAAAGATTCGGGTGATGATGCTAGTTGTAGTTTAGGTAGTGGGAGTACACAAGGAAGTAATAGCCAACAAACACCTTTAAGTCAAAGACGAATACAAATTATTCAAATGCAACAAAAACAACAACATCCATTCACTCCTTCTCAGCAACAACAACGATTTAAAATGCGTAGACCTAGATCAACAGGCCAAATAATTATTCAACAAATACCAAATTCTAAGAAGAAATATTCCGAAACACAAGTAATATATTTTTAAATGTAAAATAAAAATTTTAATGGCTTTTTATTTATAAAAAATGTCAAATAAATTTTATAATACTTTCAAAAAATATTTCACTTAAAATTATTATTATTATCAATTAAACTTAAATTTTTTCTTTCAGGAATGTAATTATTCAATAGAGCAAAACTCAGGCGGTTCTAGTTCAACTACCGCCGGACAATCAGGGCCAGATAACAACCATCGTTGTCGAACAATGAGTAGCGGAACACCTTATACTATTCATCAAAATCATTCTTCTAATTGTGTTGCCAACAATATTTCAGCAATTAACAATAACAATAATAATAAAGGAAATAATTCGAGTGTCGGTTATGATCCTTCTTATACATCAGCCACAGTTTATTCGACTGATTCGATTATAAATATCCACTCAGCTTGTGGTCAACCAACAAATCCTGAAACTGTTAGTGGTACATGTACGGGGAGTGGGGCACCAATGACGGCTGATGCAATTATACCCGTAGATCGTCGACCCTCAAACTATTATCTTTTTGAAGATGATAGTGCTCATGAATTCGACGACGAAGGTGTCTTTGAATTTAAATAAGGTTTTTTGGGTAATGGATTTGGCTTTGGGGTTTTGTTGCATAACTCGAGTAAATCGAGTTGGGTTATGAGATTTTGCGACTAATTAGTTGAACTAGACATGACAAAAATTGGCTACTACATTATAATTAATTATTTAATTCTGTTTTATTCCCTGGTGTTTAATTAATTAAATCCAGATATTATTGAGCTAAAAAGTTCTGCAACTATTTTAAAAATTACTTCTTAAAATGCTCATATTTGCATATTCTTCGCTATTAACGCCCCAAATTAAAAAAACCTTTTCTAAATTTATATTTTTCCTTATACATAAATCTTTTTATAAAATTTTAATTTAAATTTTTTAGAATTAAAGGAGATTGATACTTAATTAACGTTAATATACTATTAAAATTCTACATTAGTAAATTTATTCTCAACCAAAAAATTACCATATAGTAACTTTTTGTACTCATGTATTTTCATTTTGTTTTATGAGTACATTAAATTACCATTAAATTATAGGCTTCACAATCCATTATCTCTCTATTATTTGTCAATTTAATGGTAATATATTATAACCATCCTATTTTTAAATTAAGCAATAATATATCTTTTTTTAATTATCTACATATTTTAATACATTTTCTAACTATAAAATTTGTAAAATAATAATTTTACACAATCGCAACAAGCAATCCACATCTGCTTCCATCCCTGTTAATATCTCTTAATATATTTTTAAACTATATACAAATAATATTTATTTATTTTCTTCTTTAGTTTTCCAAACAAAATAACTTTTACTAAAATATTTCTCAAGGATTTGCCCCATCCCATTACCTGCTTTCCATATTAGCTTAGTCTTTAAATCTGTTTTCGCTTTTTTTTCATTTAGTGGCAAATTAGTGCTTCGTATTTAACTTTTTTCTATTAAATGCAGAGATAGAGAACCTTCACGTCCTGAAAGTGCCGCCTAGCATTCTAATATTATGGAATGCCCAAGAGTTACCCCTTTGCTTTTCCACCCCTGCGGGGGTGGAAATTAGTAGGGAAAGGAACGTAAAAGAAAAATACTGACTGCTTTTGTTTGCGATAAATAAAAGAAAAAATTGAGGGAAATATTTGAGTAAAAGGAAGAACGATTTTGCTTTAGTTTTTTGCTTTAAAGGTTTTTGTCTCCAAATGGGCATATTTCTAGTTTTTCTCCCACGGGAACAACTATCCAAAATAAAAGAAGAATATGTACATGTTAGTCGACCAGCTGGCTGTTAGATTTCATTGAAATTCTTCTAATTTTGGCAAACTTCCCATATACACAACAAATATTTAAATCTATGTATATACATTTTGTTAACAAATTTTCTCATTTAAATGTGAAAATTATCTTTTGATTTAAAATTATTTTTAGTTTATTCACACACACACACACATAATTAGAAATTTTATAATTTTTAACATTTTAGTTTTTAAAAATTAATTTTCTTTTTCATTTTTAAACCTTATTTACTAAAACTTTTCCTTCTAAATTACTTAGTATGTAAATATTTCTTGTCGATTTTCTTTTTAAATTTAGATGTTTATTTTTAAATATTTATATTAGTATCTATACTCTGTCGGCATCCGAGCAAGAAAATTTTACGTGGGAGTGTGAATATTTTTTATTCAAAGAATCCTCTCTCTCTTTTTTTTGTAAAATTTTTCCCCTATTTTTTTGCCTCTGCTGATAATGACACTTTTCAACAAAACTTTTTAGTCAGCTTTGTTAATTCGTTTTATAATGACAATTCCATATACACAGAGAAATTCCAAACGCTTAAAACTTTTCCCAAAATCTTTCTAAACACACAAATTGCTTTTATATTGCGAGACAACAAACAGATGTATCGGCACTTCCGCCTCTTCTATCCATTCGTGGACATTCATGCATTTTCATCCGCCGTTCGTCACGTTTTGCCAGGGCTGCCGTTTTCCGCTCTTTAAATTGCCTAATTTGATTTAGCACTCAAATGCCCTCAGAGAATTCTCCTATCTTTTCTATAGAATTTCTCTATCTGTTAATACCCCCAATATTCGCTTATGTTTTTCGTTGTATTTATATCTTATTTTTATAAAAAGAAGGGGATGAATTTGTCAGTTTTACTGAGATTGTTGTATTTGCGTCATTTAGATATATCTTTTGATTTTTCATATTTCCAAAAAAGATTTCATAAACGGTCTTTAATCATAACCAACTTTTGATTTTAAATTCTAGAATAATTTCACAAAATTATTTTTTATTATTATTTTTTTCTCTTCATTAGCTTTCAAATATTTTCTAATTCAATATAATTTCCCACAATGATTTTTAGACTTTAATTTAATTAACTTAGAGTTCATTGATCTTCTTATAATTAATTTCTTTAAATTGGCAGTTGGCTGTTTATTTTCTTCATGTCCCCAACAATTGTTCTCTCAGTTAAAAAATAATTTAAACCTCAAAAACAAAACCACAACATTTAAAAAAATTAATTAAAAAATAAATCGGCAAACAATTTTTCCAAAAATGGTGTGCTAAGGAAGGATTTTAATCGCCAAAATATTTTTCTTTATCAAACTGTTTAAATATCTACATATATAATTAAAGAAATAATTAGTGTAAATTTTAAAATAAGTAATGAATGATGATGTAGAAAAACAAAATATTAATAATAACAATAATTGCAGCAATAAATTAGTTAGTTCAAACAACATAAAAATGTTAATCATTCCTAATGGACCAAAAAAAGCACCTAAAGCTCTAATCGAGGAAATTGAAGATGAAGAAGATTTAAAACAACCAAAAATATTGCCAAACAAAGTTCTAAACTCTTTTGAATGTAATTGTGCTGAAGGGACGCAATCTACTTCTTTTTCTTACTTTCCTTCGAATTCTTCTGGATTAAATTGTTCCTCACACCAAACAAACTCGCCTTGTAGCATTGATTCTGCTCCTATTGCTAGTAATGCAGCATCAGCAGCTCCATTAATTATTACACACCAAAACTGTTTACCACAAACTCTTCTATTTGTTCCTGAACAAGAACGTCGAACCTCTACAATTTCTGAGCATTCAATTCATTCATGTCCGACCGAAATTTTTAGCAACAAAGATTATGTTGAAATTAAGGAGGAAAAGAGTGATGAATGCTACCCATTAATTAACAATATTGATATATCCATTAAAGGAGCTGTGGAAGGAGGAATTGATAAGGAAGAAGTTAATACGGGTGAAGAGGCAACAGATGAATTCGATCTTCTTATTCATTCTCATTCAAATTCAACAGCAATTCAAAGTAGAAATCCTTCACCGGGTACACAGACCCTCGGGAACTGTAAATTTGTTTTTGGACAAAATCAGCAACAATTATTTGTTAATAACAGTGACAAACTTGTTTTCAACCCAGGATTTGGTTATAATAACTTTGGAATATTTTATCAATTTTTGTTTTACAGGGACTTCATTAAGTGAAATCAATAGGCGACAATCCGTTCATACAGCTGCTCCTGCAATTGCCTTCCGATCTACTCTAGGTTTTGCAGCAGCCATTGCCAGTGCGAATGTTGGAAAAATTTCGACAATGCCAACACAAGTTCAGCCAACTCCGTCATTTCGGCATGCCCCTCCCAAAAATCGACCTTTTTTTCGGCGTTCTTCTCAGCCAATACTAAATATTGCTGTTACTGGTGGAATTACTTCTGGTCCTTCCTCGCACCACCCACTTCTTTATAATCATCGAAATAGAGCTATCGGGCATTTGCCTTCTTCATCTTCATATCTCAGAAGTGCCCAACATAATCGAATGAATGAAAATAATAATAGTGATAGTGTAGAAACAAGCGAGCCTTCTGACATAAAAAGTGGACAACTCGGTTTTGTTGGAAAAGAATTTATACCAACAGGCAGCTTACCTGCAGCAATGCATAAACGTGTTAGCTGGCTTTCGATGAAAAGCCTTCAAGATTGTGCTGTAGCTGCAGCAGCTCATTTTAGCGGAGGATCTAGCATTGCTACAGATTCTCAACACGGAGCAGTTCCTCGCTTTCCAAAAAAGAGAGATAGTAGTGGAATTCTTATCGATAATTGTTCTGGAAAGGATTCAAGATTTTGTGATACTCGTTCATCAAATAGTCAATTGGGCAGTCTTCTCCAATTAAACAACACAAATAACAACAGCGGTACTCTTTTTGGTGGAGTAGATGACACACTTGGTTATGATACAATGGACTGTGCTGATACACCTCCAATTGATACAATGAGTTGGAGCAATATTGGTAAAACGAATCCTGTTTAGGGGTATTGGGACATATTGCGACATGATTATTTTGAAAAAATTTTATTATTAAACTATTAAATTATATTCAATTATTTCTGCAGACGAGTTTGACAATGTGACTTTGATGTATTCAAAACATGAAAAAATTCCAATGAAAGATTTTGGATCTGAAATCCGCGCAACAATGGACATTGACCACTTGTTAAATAAAGCTGTATTACTTTTGGATTTGCAAGAAACTTCATTAGAAGAAATTTTTGCAAAGTTAGTTTACGGATTTCTTTAGTGTGTATTTGTTTAAATTTTAGAATAATTCATGAAATGGATATCCAAGAACCAGAATTTACTAGCGAACAAGTTCGTTCTGTTCTTTTTACGCAAGATGCTGGAAATCAATGTATGATGTGTTTTACTTTAAAAAATATGTCTAATTATTTTTAGTTCACATTTTGAGTCGAACAGTACAAAGCATTTGCACAACTGGCACAGTTGGTGGAACTTTTGATTATGATCAAACATGGATTTGTGCTCTGTAATATTTTTTATATATTTTACTTTTTTGTTTTTTACTCAATGGAGTAGAAACATTATTTTTAGGTCGTAAAAACATAAAAATAGTACCTATTTTAGGTTGAAAAACGGCAAAATAGGTTCAAATATGTTGATAATAAATCCCGTAAACAAAAGATTTTTAGGAAATAAAAATGGATTTGAGCTCAGTTAAACAGGACTATTTCGCAAACAAATAGGTTATAACCTAAAAATCCGATCCCTAGTCATGATATATGTATATTTCTCGTATACTGTGATTATTCGATTGCCTTCCTTGGATAATTACCCTATCTCTTTCAATTTTCATAATAATTAAAAAATAATCCTTCGAGTTAATGTGAAATACATTTTCCTGTGAATTTTATCAGAAAGTACCATGTTTTAATATTTATAATGTTATAGTTGTATGCTAAGTACTGTCCAGCACCGTCATGTAGCTATTGCTCGCCTTTCTCATCCAACCAATTTGGGCAGAACAATGCAAGATCTCCGTTTTATTATTATTGTTATTGCTCCATCTAGAGCGGTAATTTAGAATTAATTTGAAAATATTTTTGGTGATACTTTGGAAGTCGCCCCCTTTTTTCCCATTTCTATTTGTTTTATTTTCTCTCATTTTATGGCAAATCATACATAGATAATTCCTAAAATAACGAAATCTGACTCGTGTGAATGAAGTTATGACGATCTAATCCCATGATGCGCATAAAAGCCCTTCCATCAAGGGTTTGGTTTCATTATTTTGTTCAAGATGATCAAATTTAACCAATAATGGTATTATTCCACCCAGCTCGAAGAGCTCTTTCGAATGATTTATAATAAATTACATATTCAGCAAAAAAATCTCATAATAGTCAGGAATGAGGGGGGAGGGGGGGGGCAACTTCAAAAGATTACCATTTCTTTATATTTCTATAGAAAGGCACAAAGACAGCATTAGAAACAACAAGAACATTTGCCACACTTTTTGCTGATATGGATATTAGACAACGTCTTGTAATGGCCCATTCAGTTGAGGCATTTAGAGCAACACTTTTGGAAGCAGCAAAAGAATTAGCACTTGAACAATCACAATGGAGAGAAAGAAAATCTTCGATTCATTTAAGTCAAGCAAAAGAACAAGTTGTAAGTTTATAAATTTTTTTAAATTTTTTATGTTTTTTTGTTATTTCAGTTTGGTCTAGGCAAATTCTTTCCATTTCGTGGTCTCATAGAAGACTTTAAAATGCGCAAAAAGCATTATATTTCTGACTATTTAGATGGTCTGTTTTTTGATTACATATAAATATTTTTTAAAAAATATTATTTATTTTTAAGGTTTAAGAGGTCATCGTACAATGCAAAAAATGTTTTCTTCAATTATTTTTCTTTATTTTGCTTGTCTTCTTCCCGCAATTGCTTTTGGTGTGCTCAATGATGATAATACGGGTGGTAGAATTAATGTTAGAAAAGGAATACTTGCTCAGGTGCAGATTAACAAAAACTTTTATTTAATTTTTTTTTATAAATTAATTTTGAGATAATTAATAATTTAATAAAAAAATTATTTAAATATAAACGATAATCCCGACCAATTTCTCTCTCTCTCTTTTCGCATTCAGACTTTTTTTATAAAATTTGAATAAATTTATAAGAGAATTTCTTTTTTTAAATTTAGGGTTGTCGGTTTTTGGAAAAATCTTCGGATATCCGAAATTGAACCAAAAATACCTTTAAAAAATAATTTTCAGGCAATCGGAGGAGTTTTCTTTGCTGCTTTTGGTGGCCAACCAATGATTATTTTATTAACAACTGTCCCTCTAGCAATATATATTAAAGTAATATATAGGATATCAGAATCCCTTGGTTATGATTTTTTCGCAATGTATGCTTGTGTTGGCCTTTGGTGTCAATTTTTTCTAGTTATTTACGCAGCTACTGAACTTTGTAGTTTAATGAAATTGGCAACAAGATCAGCAGAAGAAATGTTTTCACTTTTTATAGCTATTGCTTTTGCTGTTGAAAGTGTTAGAGCAATTCATACAAGTACAGTTTTTTTAATTTTTAAATACATAATTAATAAATAATCTGTCCGATAAAAATATTTTTTTTAATTTACTAGGTTGTTTCATAAAATTGCGGCTTTACAAAAATAGTTATAAAATTTTTTGTAGATGTCCGCAAGCTTTGAGATATCCAAAATCTACGATGGGTTTTTCGCCACAACTCCCTGAATACCAACGGAAAATTCTCAAATTTTGGGATCTATTAGAAAACATTCTAAAAAAGACATATCCAAAATTTGACAGCTTTTGAACGATTATAAAAATTCTATAACTATTTTTGTTAAAACACCATTTTTTATGAAATTACCTAGTATATGTATAACTTTTATTTATCAGGTTTCATCGATAACTATCTAAGCTGTATTGACACAACATCAGTTGCTCAACCTCAAAACTTTTCTTTATTAAACCAAAAAATATTAACAAATACAACAGAATTAATCTATCCACAGGTAATTTAAAATTAAAAAATAAATAAAATTTATTTTTAATTATATAAACAGATTGAAAATGGTTGTAATAGAGATACTTTTATTCTTTATCTTCTTTTAATGTTTGGAACATTATGGGTTGCCCTGTTTCTTTATAACTTTAGAAAAACTCCTTATTTGACACGATCAAGGCGTGAATGGCTTGCTGACTATGCATTACCTGCTTCTGTTCTTATAATGTCATTTCTTGGAGAACATACATTTTCTAAAATTGATAGTAAATTTATTTTACTCAATTAAAATTTGAAAAAAAAATTTCAGAAGATATTTTTCATATGAGGGCAGATGTTTCTCTTCTTAAAATTCCCGAATTTTGGCGCCTCTCTTGGCAGGCTATTTTTGTTTGCTTCATTCTTGGCTTTTTCCTCTCTTTTCTTTTTTATATGGATCAAAATATTTGTTCAGCTATTGTTAATAATAATCAAAATAAATTAAAGAAGGGAAGTGCTCAACATTTAGATTTACTTGTTGTTTCTATTTTAAACATGTTCCTCTCTGTTATGGGACTTCCATGGATGCATGGAGCTTTACCTCATTCTCCACTTCATGTTAGAGCATTGGCTGATGTAGAGGAAAGAGTAGCTCAAGGACATGTACATGAAGTGTGAGTATTTGAATTAATTGGATTATAATTCCGCAACTAATTTTTAATTTACTGGAAATTCTTCCCTCCAAAATTTGTTTCAAAAAGGAATTAAAAAATATTTTTTAGAATAATGAATGTAAGAGAAACTCGACTAGCAACATTAATAGCTCATATATTAATCCTTGCTTCGACGTTTTTTCTTCTACCATCACCCTTACAATCTATTCCCACTTCTGTATTACACGGCCTTTTCCTTTATATGGCATTCACTTCATTGTCAGGCAATGAAATGGTTGAAAGATTGTTATTACTTATTACTGAACAGGTTGGATGGACATGACAAAAAATTTTTAAATCTTTTTTTTAGCAAGCATACCCTCCAACTCATTACATTCGTCGAGTACCACAACGTAAAGTTCATTTATTTACAACTTGCCAACTCATTCAATTAATTATTCTTTGTGCTGTTGGTTTTAGCCCTTATCCTTTCATAGAAATGGTCTTTCCAATTGTTTGTTTTTGCTTCTTGCCAATTCGGTTAACTGAAAAGCATTTATATTTTTAAATAAAAAATAACTTTAGACACATTCTAATACCTCGAATTATTGACTACAAATATTTGGATGCTTTGGATGGTCGACATTAATTAATCAATTAAATGCCAATTAAATGCCCAGATTTTGTTTTTATTATAACAATTATTTTTAATTTTCTCATATTTTTATTCGGGTTAATGCTTTTCTACTTCTAGTCATTTTTATTAAATATATTCTCAATTTTGCATTTCTTTAGCTAAAAATTTAAATGAAAAATATTATTTTAAACTTATTACACCTAAATAAAAATTATATTAACGCCTAGAAAGTTTTATGAAATTAATTTTCCGTGTTCCACACGATGCTATAATTTTTATTTAAAAATTTTTGGTCACAGTTCGGAAGGTTCCCTTATAAGCTTTTTAATATTATTAAATCTCATGAATTTGAAGTTAAAAGAATTTTTTATGAAAAATACATATATGTTAGGAGCTTTAAAAATTTAATTTTTGTTAATTCTTTATTTCATACTTTTCTAGTCTCTGTATTTAAAATTCCTATATTCTCTAATTTTATAATTAATCACTCATTGAATTTTATTATTTTAATTTTACAATACGTGTTTTTATTTTATATTGATTTCTATTTCCGGTTTTGAAAATTATTTTTAGTCTCAACTTTTTTAATGATTATATTTTTTATTTTATGATAAATTGATAAAGTTGTGGAGATTTTTGTATTAAATTAAAAATATTTTTATAAAAAATTTAAATTTATACTAAAAATTAAATAAAAATTTTTATTTAATAAATAATCAAATTTTAACAATATCATTTAAAAATATTATTTATTAACAGTTTAAAATTAATAATAATTTTTGGTGTTTTACATAATTATTTCTTTTTACTTTTCATTATCATCTTTATTATTAATTTGATTTTTAAATAGCTCAAAATTATTTGTTTTAATTACTAACTCCTTTACATAATTCAACTCTAAAATTAAATTTACTAAATTAATTTTTTAAAAATTCCTTTTTTACCTTCTTCTAAAGACAACAATTCTTTTTCTAAATTATCTTTCAATTTATTTTTAGCATAAATAATTTCCTCATTAATAATCGAGTTACCAAAATTTTTAGGATTATTAATTTCCAAAAAGAATTTTTTATATTTAATTAATTCCTCAATTAAATTATCTAAATTTTCTAAAATTATTTCTTTATCATTTTTATTTTTATTTCCAATTAATTTAGTTAATTCTTCATTTAATTTAATATATTTCATATAATAGAAAGCGCCAAGTTTCATTTTCTTTTTTGAATAATCATCTAAATCTTCATTATTCTCAGAATTAAATAATTCTTTCTAAAAAATATTTTTTATAAATTACTTTTTATAAAAAATATTTTTCGACCTCCAATTTATTTATTTCATCATCACAATTATTTATTAAATATTTTGTCAATTTAATAAATTCTGCATTTTCCAATTTTAATTTTTCTAGTAAATTTAAAGATTTTAATGCATCAACAGCTAAAAATAAATTTTCTTTTTGAGCATTTTCATTCAAAAATGAAAGAAATATTAAAATATTTTTAAAATTATTTCTTTCATTTTCTTTTATTTTTTCTAAAAAATTAATTTCAATTCCACATTCTTTAGCTATTTTAATTTGTTTATTTTCTTTTAAATAATTTTCTGCTAATTCTTTTGCTAAATTAACATTTCCTTTTTTTGAAGATTTTGAAATATTATAATAAATATTGTTTTTCTCATACCAGTTAGGCTCTTTTTTTGCTTTAATTTTTGTTAAGAATTTCTCGGAGAATTTTGAACCTCCAACGTTTACAGAGAAGAAATTTGGTTGGAAATATTTTTTATTTCCAAACATTTGAAGATTTGCTATAAAAATATACATTTTTTTATTATTTTAAAAGAGACGAGAAATAATTTTGGCATTGGAGAGACAGATTGGGAGTGTCGGAAAACCTCAATTTCGATAACCAAGATTTTTGTTTGATATATAGTCTCGATCAGTTCTCTAATTAAAATAACCAGAGATTGGAAGGAAATGCTAAAGATGTCGAAAATCGTGAATCTGAAGCGGGGGGAGAGGAGGGGGTGCCAAACGAAAAAATGACAGCATTAAATTTATTGGAGATTAGAACGAAATTTAATATTAATTTCACGTTCCTGGTCAAGTCTCTATCCTATTACTTAACACATAAAATTTAATTATTTAGCTACTATTATTACAAATAATTTACGAGGATTTTGTATATTTTGCTTTAAATTCATTGAATTATTTTCTTTAACTATTAAATTAAAAATCAAATAATATTTAATAATTTTAGGAAAATTAAATAATTGAGAGAAGAACATTTTAAAACTTAATAAATAAAGAAATATGTGTAAATAAATTGAAATCTTTAATTTAAATTGGTATTAATTATTACTTAATGATTTAAAATGTTTTTTTTCTGACTCAATTTTTTCGTTTATATAAATTCAAATCTTGCTTATTGTTTCAAGTGAATAATAAACAGGGTGGTTGCCCATTCTCGAGTTTCACCTGATATTTACCTTATTTAATTGTTGAATCCCTATTTTCGTGTTTTGGAATTGGCTACCCTGATAATAAAGCCTTTATGTTGAAGGAAAGGAAAATAAGCATATTAAATTATCAGAAATAAAAAAATTAAAAATAAATTAATATATTTATATAATAAATTTAAATATCTCCCAGTTTACACTTAAAGTTTTTTATTTACATCACAATTATTAATTTTATATTTCTAAGGATGATTCTTATAAAATAATTCTTATTAATTTAATTACATCACCCTTATTAATTTATAAATTGTCTAATATGTATATTTTGAAATAACTCTAAATTAATAATTAATTAATTGTTAGATTAACACAATTACTTTAAGATCAAATCATCATTGGAATATGATTTAATTAATTAAAGCACTTTTACTTCTATGTATCAGTAATTCTACTTCCGTTCCATCAACCAAACGTTTAAGAGAAAAATTTTTTTTTTAAATTATTTGATACATGACGGATCAAATGAGATAATTTTTAAATTAATTTATTATTCTTTAATAATTTTTGTTTATTTTATATACAAGCAGCTTTTATATTAGAATAAATTTTTTATTATTGTTAATTTCTTTGATTATAATCACCAATATACATACATGATATAAAAAACCTCGGTGCATTGTTCAATAAGAAAAATTGCCAAGAACATTGCCAGAAACATTAAATAAAACATAATTTAAATTCGAATATCAATTTTCGATTTTTTGGCTTTTTTATAAATGCCCTTTTCAAGTCCCCCCCCCCCCCCCCATGCCTATTTCTCAATGCACTCTCGATGCCCTTTTACAATAGACTGCTTGCCGCTAACAACATCCACAAGATAATCAATGAATTTTATTTATTAATTAGTCAGTCGATTTTAAATTGACGTTTAAATATTTTTATTTTATAAGAAATAAACTACAAAAACGGATTGTTATAAATTAAATTTACAATTACAGTATTTAAATAAATAGAACTAGTTTTTCTTTGTTAATTCCTAGTTTTAAGTTGTCTGTGTGAACAATGGAGTACTGCTTGCCACAATGTCAAAAACTAGAGGATAAACTCTTGAGACTATATTAAAAATTTAGGCCTAAACCTCTTGGAGGGAAGTTCTTAATATAAAAATCCACCTAGGTAATTCAATTAAAATTATCACGTTCCCACAAAAAAGTCAAAATACAAATTAGGTAAAATTTAAAACATATTTAATCCAATAAAAACTAAAATAGCTTCAACTTATTTGTCAGGCCAAACAAAGTCTAAATTTAAAGAGAGGGGGGGGGTGGGTAGCTATTAAAATTAATTTTTATTGTTTATTATTGAAATTTATAAAAAAAAAAGAATCAATTAATATTATTTATCACAGGACTTCGCCCTCCTCACCTCCCTCTATTAAAATTCTTTATTCATTACTCTTATTTTTATTGACAGATTTAAAAAGATGCCCTTTAATTATTATTTTAAATTAATTTATTTAACAATTTTCTTTTATTTTTGTTTAATTTATTTCGATAATGTTTTTGGTGTTAAACAAAATTTAAAAACAATTGGTAAAAGATTTAAAACACAAAATGATATCGAAAAAGTAAAAAATGAGCATTGTTGGGAAAAGAAAACAAATTTAAATATTGAACAAATTTTTGATTGTCTTCATCTATTGATAAATATTTGTTCTTGGGAAATACCAGACACAATTGTGATTAATTTAAAAGAAGAATTAAATAATGAATTATTAAGTATTTTACCTAAAAAGTTAATTGTTGATGAAAATGGAATAAATATTGGTGGATTTTTGGCAAAAGAATTGTGGAAAGCTAAAGATTTAAAAGAATTTTTAAATGAAAATTTTGATAAAACTAAAGAATTTTTGATTGAAATTAAGTCAAAAATTGAAAATTTTGAATTAAATATTAAAAATAAAAAAATTAAAGGAATTATTAAAGTACTTGGAGAATTGGATAAATCAAAATTTAATTTAACAAATTTATCTTTTAATAAAAAGAAAGAAAATAAAATTAACAAAATTATTTTGAAAATATTAAAAAAACATTATAAATTAATTATACAAATTTATCAAAAAATTATAACATTCGAGAAAACAAAAATCGAAAATAATTCTAACAATAAGGTTAATAATATTTAAAATACATATTTATGTAGCAGTGTTGCCGCGGGTACAAAAAATCTTCGGGTTCGGGTATAGGGTTGGAGCGTTTTCATTCCGGGTTTCGGGTTGGCAAAAATTTCGGGTACGGGTTTCGTGTTAGAAAATTTTCTTTTTGGGTATCGGGTTTCTGGCGGCAACCCTGATACATAAATTACTTTTGTGGGGACTTTAGTTTAAAGAAAGATTAGGAATGTAAAAGAATTTTTAATATTTTTAATGAAAAAGCAGAAATGTTTTTGTCTTAAATAAAATTTTTGTCTACTAACCAGTTACTTATAAATTTGAAATTTGCTGGTTTTGATAAGCTACTGAAAGCACTGCTACAGATTTGTAAATTTAAAAATAAATTTATTATTTTTTAAAGATATTATTTCAACAAAAACGAATAGAAATATTAAATAATTCAACAAAAGAACAAAAATATCTTGAAAAAGGATTAGATAAATATAAAATTGAAAAAAATTGGAAAAATAAAGTTTTTGTTGAATTTGCTTTTATGTATGCAAAAAATGGTCTTTTACGTTTTGGAATTTTGGAGGAAATAACTGAAGAAGAATTTACTTTATTGGCAAATGAAAATTTAGAAAATGATAAAAAAATTGATGAAAATAAAGCAAAAATTTATAAAAAATTAACTGAAAGAGAATTGCCTTTTGAACAAGAATCGGCAATAAATAATTTAGATTCATTTACGTCTATATTGATGGACGGTATTGAATTAAATTTTAATATAAAAATGATGAAAATAATTATAAAAATGGCAAAAAACTTTCAAGAATATAAAAAATTGATTATTGTAAGAGAAGAAAATGAAAATTATTTTAAAGAAATTGAAAAAATTTTGGAAGAAATTGAATGGAATATTTTAATTGGAGGAATATTTAAAATTAAAGAATTTGATAGTAATGAAGAAGTAAAAGGGGATAATGAAATTAAAGCAATTATTCCTTTAAAGAAAATTAAAAACAACAAAAAATTTACTAAAAAATTTGTTGAAAATTGTTTAAATTATTTGATGTGTGGAACTAAATTGAGAACTAAAAGTCTTGGAATTTTGGAAAATATGCCTAAAATAAAGTTAAATTGAAGTGAAGTGTATATCAAGAAGTGTAAAGTGTATAAAATTAAATGTATAGAGAACAAAAAAGGATGTTTTAAAAGTGTGTTACTTTCAAATTTTATTATTAAAAGATTATTTTTTATTATTGCATTATTCTTGATTATTTAAATGTCTTTTTTTAATTTCCAAAAAATTATGTAACAAAATTTAGATTATATATAAATTTGTATTTAGTTTTTTAATTAATTTTTAGGATTTTGTTGAAAGAATAACTACCTATACATTTTTACAAATATATTCGTTTAAAAATTGTAAGGACGACGGTTTCCCTCAGATTTAGTTAATATGTAAAGCATAAACGAAGACAATTAGTCGGTGGGAGGAGGATATAGCAGTTTATATTACATACATAGGAGAGCTCTCGGAGGACAATTCTCATCCAATCTTTGACATTTTCTGGGAAGAGTAGAAAATAGTTTTAAAATTATTTTTTAATTTCTTTAACTTTACAATTTCGAAATATTTGCACTTTAGTGCATCATCGCTAATGTATAAATAGACAAATTAAAAATAAATTAAAAGGGCATAAATCGGCAAGAATAAAAAGAAAATCCACGCATTTTATTAAAAATAAATAAACATTCAATAATTTATTTAACTTGCTTTTAAAAATAATAAAAAGTCATTTTTATAAAAAATTTTTTTAATTAATTTTATTTATTTAAAAAAATTTTTTATTTTTTAGTTGTTATTTCAATTTATTTTTAAATGTATTTTTCTATTAAAAATAATTTATTTATTTTAATAAATTTATTTTTAATTTCTTTTATTTGTAGTAAAAATATTTTTTTATCAAATGATGATATTGAAGGTTGAATTTAAATATAAATAAATAAAAATATTATTTATTTTTAAAGGACTAAATAAATGTAAAAGCGATTTAAATCTTTTAATGGAAGGAGTTAAAGCTGAACTTGTACCGCCGTCGAATAATGATTTGGAAAAAATTCAAATTAATTTAGAGGAAAATATTTTTGAATTAATTGATTTATGTTTATACGAAGGTTTTGTTAAAAGAATATTTTTTAAAATTAATTTTTAATTTTTAAGATTCTAATAAAAATATTGATGAAAATTTAAATTTATTTAATCCAAAAATGAAGCTTGCTAATGATTTGGGTAATTATGGAGGATTAATTGCAGCAAAAATTTGGACAAATGACGAATTAACAGAACATATAATTATTGATATTTTGCCTAAAGTTGAAAGAATTAAAACAATAATTGAAAGAGAAGTAGGAAATGATTTGAAAGAAAATTATTTTTTTGGAAAGAAAATTGTAATTGGAATTGAAAATATTTTAAATAAATTTTTAATTAAAAAAAGAGAAGAAATAAATAAAATTAAAAAATCAAAACAATTCTCAAAATATTTAAAAATTTTCTCTTGTGGTATTGTTAGAAAAGATTGTTTAGAGAAGGAAAGAATTAAAGAAAAAATGTTAAAATTGGAAAATGAAGAAAAATTTTTAAAAACTTTAATTGAAAAATATTCGAAGATTTTAAAGTTAGCCAAAGAATTAATAGAAAATTTTAAAGAAGTAATAAGTGAAATTAATGTATGTATTATTTTAATATATTAATCTCGATTTTCTCAAAATCTCCCAGTTCATTCTCTAGTACAGATTATTAAAGTCATTATTTGGATACTTACTTGAAAAGTAGAGTTTTCTGATTTGGATATCAGGATGTTAAAAATCCAAAATCTGAAAATTTCCAAGAATTTACCAATCTTAATGAGGAGAACTAGACTCTTGTTCTTCCTTTCCCTTCTATTTGTCTTCCATATTTGTATAAACTTTAATTAAAAATGACTCATGATTTTTAAATGAATCTAAAATACATCTCCAATTTTTTCTCCTATATAAATAATAATAATATTATAAATTATTAGGCAATTTCAAATGAGAAGCAATGTAAATTTACAGCAATTAAAAGCTCAATAAAAGAAGGTCTAGCTTTAAGTCAAGCATTAGAATCTTTTATAAATCCTCAATCGGATATCTCTATTCAAGAAAAAATGGAAAAATTAAATAAAACATTTTTAAAAGCAAATAACGGATTACTTAGATTAGGGATTTTAAATAAAGTTACAAAAAATAAATGTGAATGTTTGCAAGAAAAGGATAATTATGACAGTAGAGATATTTTTAAAGAATTAACTGGAAGAGAAATACCAGAGGATTCAAGTTTTTGTTCTACAATGTCTATGGAACAATGTAAAGAGAAAGACATTGAAGAAATGTCGCTTAAATTTCACGCAAGATATTTTGATTCTAGCTTTAGAGGATTTAATGATTTACAATTTAATTTATTGAGAAAGATGTCAAAATTATTTCTTTTTTATTTTAAAATTAAAGAAAATAAAGATAATGAGAATGAAGAGATTAATAATGATTTTAGTATTATTCAAAAAAGTTCTGATAATTCTAGTGAATCATTTAATGAAAAAGTTTTTGAAGAAAACAAAGGTGAAATTGAAATGATTGAATATAATAGAAAATGGAAAGGAAAAGGAAAAATTGATAATGATAATGATTATATTGATAATGAAAATGAAAAAGGTGAAGAAATTATAAAACAATTTATCAAAAGTATGGAAGACTTTGAAGGTAATGAATCACCTATAAAAAAAGAAAATAAATTAGTTGATAATGAAGCTTCAACTTCTGCCACTAAAAATGAAATTGTACCTGCAATTGAAAATGAAAAATATAAAGAAATAGAAATGAATGAAATTAAAGACAATAAAAATATTAAAAGATTGACTCCTGAAATATTCAAAGAAGAAAATTATAAAAATATAAAAAAGAGAAAATACAATGAAAGTAATGAAAACAAAAATAATGGAAAAATTAAGAAAGAGCTTAAAAGAAAAAGAACAAATAGCTTTAAAAATTTTATTAAATTTATTAAATTGGAAAAAAATAAAAGTAAATCTAAAGTGCCCGTTTAGAGTTATTTGTGTGTGTCGATGTAATGGAGGATTTTTAAAGAAAATATAAAAAGAAGTTGAAAAAATATATTTTAATTTTTTTGTTAAATTATTCTTATATTAATTAAGTCTGAGATATGTATTAGTTAAGCAAATAAAATATAAATTGTAGAATTTTTGAACGTTTCATGTTATAGTCTTTGTAAAATTAAATAACTAAATTCATTAGCATTATGTTTATTATTTTGATTATTTACACTAAAATCACTATTATTTTTTGTTTCTTTTCTTTATTTGAAATACTCTCGGAAAGGAATAGAGAATATTGTGATTGACCTTTTTAGTTCAGTCAAAATTTTCATAAAACAGTAAAATTCAAAAATCGAGTTAAATGGTAAAGCTAATTTTGGATTAAGTTTAAGTTGTTTAATTGTTTTTAAAGACTTCTATCTCTCTCTCCCTTACTAGAGATGACGAGAAAAACTGAAAAACCCTCAGTCTTCTGGTTAGTTCAGGCAAATCGGTAACCCTAGTTTTTTGTCTGTTTGAATATGAAATGTTATTAATTAAATATTGGGAAAATATTTAATTTTCATTATAATATTGTAAGAAATAATTTGACAAAAATAAAAATATAATTTTATTTTTGAGTTTGATTTAGTATACATTGATTGTTATTGAGAGATTTTTCGATTGTTTTCTCAGCTTTAACTTCAAAAATATTCTGTATTTATTAATGTTTTTTTCCAAATTTATATTCAAATATTTAGTTCTAAATTATTTATTTTTTGAAGGGTAAGAACAATTTAAATTAGGTAACATGAATAAATAATCAAATTCTTTCTTCTCTCTTTTATATTAATTTACCCAATAATTTTGTGTTAATAATTTGATTTTTAACCAAAAAAATTTTTCAAAACACTTTTAATAAATAATCCGCTTTAGTAAATTTTTTTAATTTTGCTAAAAGATAATATTTATTTTATTTTATTTTAAAATTTTCTTATCAAAAAAAATATTTATTTAAAATATTTCTAAATTAATTTATAACTTTTTTAATGTCTAAATTATTGTATTTAATTATTTTTATTTTTTATTTAATAACAATTATCTTCATACAAGGTAAATATGTACATATAATTTAACTAAAATTATTTTTGATAATAAACTTATTCAAAATATCAAAAATTAATTTCAATTTCACCCTTTTTAATTAAATATTTATTTTTAAATTAATTTTTATTTTATTTTTAAGATATAAAATCTTTAAAATATTTGCAACAAAATAAAATTAAAAACAATCAAATAAATAATTTTAAAGAAAAAAAAGAAAATATAATAACAACAACAAATATTATTTTTGTTTTTTCTTTTTCATTTAAACTTTTTGAGACTGAACAAAAAGAAGTAATTGATGGTAATTAATTTAATTTAAATAATTAATTATAAATAATTAAAGATTATAAACAATTTTGTGAAGAAATTGTAAATTATTGGACAAATAATATAACGGTAATAAATATATAAATAAATAAATAAATAAATTATTTTTTAAAATATATAGAAATATGGAATGTTTGTATTACCAAATAATGAAGAAGAAGAAAAAAATAATTGTTTTTGGGTAGAAAAAGATATTTTAATAAATAAATGTAATACAAATTTTGGAACAATTAAATCTGTAAAAATGCATGATGTTAATACAAGTAAATAAATAAATAAATTATTTTTTAAAAATAAATATATTTAGGTTTATATGAATCATCAAAAAATATTAGTTTACAACTTTTAAGCGAAGCAGATAATATTTTAAGTAGTCAATGTAATGAAGAAATTAGAAATTCTACAAAAATTGTTTTGCACACAAATTTTGCCGAAAAGGTTATTATTTTAATTTTTGTGCTTAATTAGATGAAGTTTTCGCTTCATGGAAAGTCTTTTGATATCCTGATCTAGTGGGGAAGCAGTCTTCGAATCCGAACCTGCTATTGAATATTTTGAATTTTGAAATTTTATTTAAAAAATATAAATATTAATTTATTTAGGCACTTATTAATTCACATTTAATTGATGAATTTGAAAATGTTAATATCGTTACTTGGACAATATTTTCAGCAAATTATTATTTTTATAGATTAAAAAATATAAATAATTTATATTATTTAAATATAAATTATTTAAATAAAATTTTGGAAGAAAAGCAACCAATCATTTATTTATTTGCTATATCTAATAAATTAGATAATTATCAAAGTATAAATATTTTGGATGCAGTTAAAGCTCCATTAAAAGAATATGACAAAAATAATGTTTAAATAAATAATTTAATTTAAATAATTTTTTATTTATTTTTAAAGGGTGGAAATTGGAAGTTAAATATTATGTTGTTAGCCTCTTCAAACAGACTTTGTTACTTTTTGGATTCTTTTTTTCTTGTTAATTTTTATTTAGATGTACTTTTAGAAGAAGCTAAACGTAAAAATAAAAATAAATTTTAATTTTAATAAAGAATTTTTAAAATTAATTTTAAATAAAAATAATTAATAAATATTTAATTTAAAAATTAACAGATACTATAATACAAAATCAAAAAAGTTATTTATCGGCAATTACTGAACTTGCTGTAAATTGCTCAAAATTGGAAATATTAGGTTTTGATATACCTGACGAAATTGAGAATAATATTTCTTATGAAAGAAAAAAACTTTTGAAAAAACCTTTTTTAGTATTAATTACGGATGTTTTTGAAGAGGTTATTTTTATTTAAAAATATAATTAAATATTGAATAGGACACAAATAAAAAGAAATTATTTTAATTTTTTTGTTAATTAATTTGTCAAGCCTAAAAAGAATATACTAAATTTTTAATTACTTTTTTTTAATTTTTAAAAATCAGGATTTTGTAAAATTTCATTTGCCTGATCAAAACAAATTTAATTTCAAAATTTATGCTTTAAAACAAAATATTCGTGACAGTTATTTAGCTAACAACTTTAATTTTACTTATTTTTTTGATCCTCAAAATCCTTATGGAAATATTTATTGGTATCAAAGTGATGAAGAAAATTTTGAAAAACAAAGAAATGCTTCCCAAAATAATTGTAAGAATTTTAAAAGAAAATGGGAAAATTTAAACTTTAGCATATACGATTATTAATTGGCCTATTTTAATTATTCCCGTTGCGATTTCTTTTTTTATTGGGTTAGCTGCTGTTTTTGTTATTGTTTTAATTCGTTATCGTCGTTGTGTTTGTAAATTACTTTGGTTAAATAAATTGGAACAATTAAAAACAGAACATATTTATACAGCTTATCAAAATATTCAAAATAATAAAAAAATTGAAAATAATTGGAAAGAAGTTAAAGAAAAAATGTAAATTCTTCTAAATTAAATAATAAGCTTAAATTTTTGTTTGAAGAAGAGATTGTTGGGAGCTTGATTGGGATCAAATAATTTTTACATCTGAACAATTAGGAAAAGGTAGCTTTGGAGAAGTAAGGAAAGGTATAAATAAATAAGTATATTATAAAATATTTAATAATAATTAAGGAATATTGACTAAAGTAGAGCTTAACTCCCCATATTTTGGTTGTCAACTAAATAATATTCGAGAAGGATCACCTATTGCAGTAAAAATCCTTTCTGATCATTTAATTGAACAGGAACGACAAAATTTTTTATGTGAAATGGAAATTGTAAACAAAAATTAATTTTAATATAATTTTAAGACAAAAATGAGGAATCTATTAGAAATTTGAGAGAATTTTAATTTTTATTTACCATTTTATTTCATCATTAAATAAAATAAAAAATTATATTTAAAATATATAGATGAAATTATTGAGAAATTCCCATCGTTGTATTGTCCAAATGATTGGATGTATAAGTATACCCGATACTACTCTTGGTCTTGTACTCGAATTTTGTTCTAATGGAAATTTATTAAATTATTTACGTAAATTATCTGAAGAACAACAAAAATTGGCAAAAGAAAATAAAATTAAAATTGAGAAAGAAAATGAAAGGATTAATAGTGATTTTATGCGTTTTTCATGGCAAATTTGTGATGGAATGGTATTAAAAATAAATTAGATGGTTATAAAATAAATTAAAAATTAAAGAAATTCTTGTCAGAAAAACAAATTATTCATAGAGATTTGGCTGCTAGAAATATTCTTTTAGATGATTTTATGGTTGCTAAAGTAAGTTCTTATAAGGTAAATTAAAAAATAATTATTAATTAAATTAAAAGATATCCGACTTTGGTCTTTGCATTTTTGATAATTCAAAAAATTTGTCTAATTTTGAAAACCCTTCAATTCGATTAAAAACAATTTTAAACAACAGAGAAAAAGGCCAATTAAACGAAAAATTGCCTTTAAAATGGTTAGCACCAGAAAGTTTGTCTGAAAAGAAATTTTCAGAGAAGAGTGATGTGTATGGTTTTAAAAAAGATTTTTTAATTAAATAAAAACTTAGATGGTCATATGGTATTCTTCTTCATGAAATTTACACTTATGGCAAAAACCCTTTTGATGCCATTGAAAGAATTTCTTTATTAGAACAAATAATTAAATACAAAAATAATATTCAAAAACCTTCAATTTGTCCAAAAGAAATGTTTGCAAAATTCTTTAAAATAAATTAGGTATATATTTTTTAAGATTTGAATTGATGATTGAATGTTCTAATATTGAACCAGAAAAGAGACCAAATTTTGAATTAATACGAAATAAACTTTCTTTTCTTTTGGAAAGAGAGACAGGTAAAATAAAATAATAATTCTTAAATTATGTATACCGTATTTTCTCGATTAATTCCCTGGGGAATTATTTTTTCAACCCTTCTTTGGCATGGGGAATTAATCGAGGGAGAGGAAATATTCGAATTTTGGCATTTGAACGTGCAGTAGGGTATTTGGGTGTGGGGAATTATTGTCTCAATCCAACTCTAGCATGGGGAATTAATCGAGAGGAGGAATTTATCGAGAAAATACGGTAATTTTAGAAAATTATGGATATATTTCACTCAAATGATGATAAAGAAAAATATTCAAATTAATTTTTGTCTAATGAAAATATAAATACATACATATATCCCATTTTCAAAATGTTCTTAAAAGTATAACATTGAAATAGTGGATTTTTGTTATGTTAAAATTATTTGTATCTCATTGTATGCCTCGATTTATAAACAATTTATAATACATATTAATCGAGAGGAGGAATTTTGTTAATATTTAATATTATTTAATTTTAATATTTATTTAATTTTATAAAATTTCCACAAATTTATTATTGTCTTTAGATTTTTTTATTCATTTTTTCTCTATCAATAATGAAGCGTTGGTCTTCCACCAATATATTTTCTTTGGATGTTGGTAGATTTAGTGTAATGATGGCGTCCAGGTAATGCTGGTCTTGGCTCTAAATGTGCTCGATAATCTGGACCTTGATGTTTTTGTTCTACTCGAATATATGGGCCTTTAGTGAAGGTATAGCTGTCTATAGCTGGTTTACTTGACCAGCTATACTCACGCTCTGTTACAATACGATCTGCAGGAGGTCCGGCACTTGGACTACGATATGTGGATGAATGCCAAGATGTTGTTTTATTTCCGATACTTAAATTAAATAAATATAAAGTTTATGTCGTAAATTTGTATCTAAAATTTAACACACCGTGGTATGTGCTTGTCACCTCCTCCTGTAGTTCTATATTCATATGAATATGTTGACATTTTTATTTTTTAATAAAAATTAAAAATTAATTTTCAAACTATGATTTAAAATAAAAAAAAATTAAATTAAATATTTAATTTTTAGGTGTTTAATGAATGAATGAATCAATTTGTTTAAAAAATATATTCTTATTTAAATAATATTTTTCTCTCCTCCTACTTATTTTATAAAAAAGGATTGTCTTTATAATATTTAACTAAATCGAAAATAAAAATTTAATCGAAAACTAGTTTTTAAAATAATTGACAGGTCTTAATACAGCTGATTTAATGCGAGAATCACATGCTTTTATTTAAAAAAGAAAAGAGTACGACAAAAAATCTAATTAAAGAAAAATCCCAATTATGTTCAAAGACTAAAAAATATTTTAAAAATTTAGAAATGTTTAAATAATTAAATGTAGAAATTAAATATTTAAAATATTAATTTAATAATTAAATAGTCTTTTTCATATTTTACTAGCTCTATTTATCTACAAACAAATTTAAAATAATTTTTGCTTGAAGTAGTTGTTAGAATAAAGAAATGTCAAAACAATTGTTGTTAAAATAATTAATATTTGAGTGAAGTTTTACACGCTTAATTGAAAGTTGACATACAGAAAGAATATTAAAAAATAACAATAAAATATTTAATTTTAATTTTTAATTTTAATAAAATATTTATGTAACCCCGAGTTTATTCTAATGTTATAAAATATTATTTAAAAATTTGACTGATTCAGAAATAGATAAAAGAATTTTTTGTTACTTTTTTACTAAAAAATATATTTATTTTTTATCTAAATTAAAAATTCTATTTAGTAACACTAAAATGCCACAATGTTTGTGTAGAGTAACAACACCAATTAATTTTTGATGTCATTACTTTTTTCTTAAAAGCAGTAAGGCGTAAAGCCGATAATTAGATTTATTTGCCATAGACTCACGTAACTGGAATGCAAAAAGTATTGTTTTTATTAGAGATTTTTTTTGTTGAAACAAATTTGTTAGTTTCTGATAATTTTTAAAAAAAGTACCTATATATTTTTTTAATTTAATTTTTAAAAATTATTTTTAAAATAAATATTTTTTAATCCTTTAATCGTTAATTTAAAATGATTAATAAAAGACAAGCTTTCTCATCTGGCAATTCAACAATTCAAAGTAATAATAGTTCAAGTAACAGAATGAGTGGAAATTTCCATTCAAGTCAAAAAAGTAAACGAAAATTGGTTAGATTACAAAGACAACATTGCATAATTGGTTAATTAATTTAATTTAAAATTATTTTTATTTTAAAGATGATGCTCCTTCTGAAGAAAATTCTGTTGGAAACGATTTTTGGATTGGTGTTGCTCCTTTGTTGGATATGGCTGGAACAGCAAGAATTTTAGGTGTTTTTATTTATTTAAATTTATTTAGAATGTCTGAGAGAGAGAGAAATTTTTATTTAATTTACTAAATAATATTGTTTACGTTCATTTTTTTTTATTTTTGTTTTTATTTTTCTGTTAAACTTTTCATTTTTTTTATTTAATTTAATATATAAACTCTGTCCTTTTATTAGATCATGACAAATTTTAAAAAATATAAACAAAAATAAATAGTGTATTTTTAAGATAAAAAACTAAATTTTTAATATTTTTTAAATCTTTTTTTATCCAACTACTAAATAAAATCAAAATGTAGAATCAATATTTTATATTATAATTACTCCATTTTCATTTATTGTTTGCTTTAAATAAAGGCAGTAACAAAAATAAAAACGTCGAAATTTTGGCTAAATGAGTAATTTTCTGGATTCTGAGGGGAGGGAGGAGAGGTATGGCAGCAATTTTGGCCCATCAGACTTAATGAGTTGGCAAGGAGCAATGGGCGATGGCCAAAGGCATTTATTTGTTGGTCTAAACACTTCCACAAAATTTTGTCTGAACATTATAAAAAAGATGTGGGAATTGTTTTTGTTTACCTTTCTCTCTATACTCTCTTTTTTATTTTATTTGGACAATTCTTAACTTTAAATTAAATTTATAAAAAAAAATATTTATTTATTTATTTTGAAGCGTGCAAAGCTGCGAACATTTCCTCTGCAATGCTAGCACACAGAAGAAAATCATCTGCACTTCCAAGTATCGGCTGCGGGGGTATTCATTTTCCTCCTCCTTCAGCATATTGTGGGAAAAAAATCATCAGGAGCAAGCAGCATTTTGTTAACAAATCCAAAATGGCAAAAAGTTTGTGTATATATATTTTTTTAAATTAATTCTTTCTTTCTGTTAAAGTATGAACTTCATCACCACCCATCAACTTCAATGCAGCAACAACCTCAATTATCAAATGCCCTTCATCTCATTCTGCAATTGCTTCGGCAGCTAACCGTCGTCAACAGCTCGGGAATCTGTTGCAATTTTAGCTGAAAGTTGGGGTGTCTTTGCTGTTGACCCAATGCTGCTTCTGCAAAAGAGGAGATAACTGGTAATAAAATAGTAATATAATTATTGTTTTTGTTGAATTTTGGATAAAATATTTGGGCAAATATTGTTGAATAAACAAAAAAAATTTTTCTTATCCTTTTAACTAAAAGAAGGAAAATTATGGTATGAATGTGATGATGATGAGTGTTTTTTTAGTAGAAATGCAAAAATGAAAGAAGAAACGTAAAAGAGTCAATTCTTATTGTTTTTGATGAAAAGTAAATATAAAAAATTAAATGAATTTAGAAGTAAAATAATATTATTTTAAAAATATTTTTATTTTGACATTTAAATTTTAGAAAAAATTTTTCAGAAAATTTACTTTGTTTCATGGGGCTTTTTGAATTTACTCTTAAACTTGCCTGTTTAGCTTCGATGATTTCTGTTTGTCTACATACCCCTCACACAATTAGTCAATGGCCTTCATTGCTTTATTGGCTATTAATTGTAAATAAATAATTTAAATTTTTAAAAGAAATATTAAATTAAGAATGATATTTTCTGTAACAACAATATTCTCGATTGATTTACTTTTAAGGTCAAAAATATTTTAAATTTAAATTAAATTATTACTATTTTTTTCTTCCCTAATTCACAAAAATAAAATTTAAAAAAATTAATTTTTAAGATAAATACAAAAAACTATATTAAAAGACCGTTGGTGTCAGTTTGACTTGACTATTTTATTTTTTCATTACGCATCTATTTGTATTCATTCTGCAGAAATTTCTGATAAATTATGGCCTTGGTTAAATATTAAATATGAGGGATGGTTTGTATTTTTTAAATGAAAATAATTATTTTTTCAAAAAAGGTGGGGGGCTGTACGTTCACCCAGACCATTTATTATGTTAAAATTTATTAGATCAATTATTCGTTTTTTAAATTGCCACGTAATAGAATTCAAATGATTTATAAAGTAATTAAAATATATACTTAAATATTTTAATTAATTTTAAATTAAATAAAAGGAGGTCTTCTCAACAAATTCAAAATGTTCCCATTTTCTTTTTATTTTTTTATAACTTTTTATGCAATTATGGGAGTACAACTTTTTGGCCGGATGGAATTTCATTGTGTTCTCCCAGGACTGACCCTAATAATGTTACAATTGCTGGTAAATTAAAAAGAAAATATTTAAAAGAGAAGAGAAATAAAAATTATTTTAAAAATTAAATGAAAATAATTTGGCTTTTGTCCAGTTTCTACAATCAAAATTTATTAAAATTTTATATGTCAATAAGAAACTTTGTATTTACATACATGTATCTCTTCCAATATATATTTTTCAAAACAATATTAGATCTAAAAATTTCTCTAGACTTGACCTTTAAACTATATTGCTCAACAAGACCAAAAAACCAAAATAAAAAAAAATTAATTCAAATCCTATAAATTGTATAGGAGCTCATAATTTTAAATAAATACGTTTTTTATTTATTTATGGGGTATTTTTTTTCAGATCTAGCTATTCCTGATACAATGTGTTCTCCAGATGGTCAAGGATATGAATGCCCGCCAACAATGGAATGTATGAAACTTTCTCTACGTGCAAACCAAATTGGTTTTTAATTAACAAAAAATTATTTAAAAAATTAAATTATTAAAGGTTTTTATGGAATGTTTAATGATTTTGGTATATAATAAATAATTTAATATAATTAAATTTTATTTTTTCAGCATCTAGTTTATTTACTGTTTTATTTAGCAGCCTCTCAAGAGGCTGGGTTTTGTTTTATATGATACTCTTGATTACTTTTCCTTATTATTTTGGTCTCTTTTATTTTATTACTTTAATATTCTTTTTGGCTTGGCTAGTTAAGTATTTAAATTTAATTAAATTTAAAATTAAAAAATATTTTTTTAGAATGTTTTTATTGCTGTTATAACAGAAACTTTTGCTGAAATTAGAGTTCAATTTAGTGAAATGTGGCAAAGTAGAGAAGTACCTCCCAATAATAGAAATCTAGATAATATTAATCAAAATGTATTATGAGAATTTAATGAAAAAAAAAAGATTTTTTTTTAAATTTATTTTTAGAAATTAGAAAAAGATGAAGAAGGAGATTGGCATATTAAAGAAGTTGATTCTAAATTATTAAATTTTGGGGTAACAGAGAGGGGAACATTTAGACGTCTATTACTTGCATTTATATGTTCAACAACCTTTCAAACTTTTATACTTTTCCTTGTGTAATATTTTTTATAAAAATTAAATAAATATATTTTTATAGTGTAATAAATGCTTTAATTAATTCATCTTTTGTTTATCAAAATAATCGGAGTGATATTTATCGAAAAAGAATTTATTTTTATATTGAGGTATTTTTATATTTGAAAATAAAAATAATTTTTTTCAGTCAATTTTTACTTTAATTTTTTGTATTGAATGTTTAATTAAAATATTTGGACTTGGATGGAATGTTTTTTGGCGTAGAGGACAACATAAATTTGAGTTATTACTTTGTTGTGGAAGCATTTTAAATATAATTCCAAAACTTTATAAAACAAATTATTTTACTTATTTTCAAGTTTTTCGTCTTTTACGATTAGTTAAATTATCCCCAATGCTTGAAGATTTTGTTTATAAGGTGAACCGCAAATTAAAATTTTTGTGAATCTGAAACGACCCAAAAATTTTGGGGTATGGCCAGGAAGTGGAAAATTTCTGGAGATTTTTTTGATTTTCAGAACAGGATAAGATAACCGAGCCGGAAAATCTTCGGTCCTTAGATTCGATTACAAATCTTAACTATTCACACTTTTACACCTCTGACAATTTATTATTTTTAGAAGAAAAGAAGTTAAGCGAAAATTCGGGGAAATTTAAAAATAAAATTTATTTACATTAAACTTTATTTTTCAGATTTTCGGTCCGGGTAAAAAACTTGGAGGGCTTATTTTATTTACTTTAACATTGGTAATGATTACCTCAGCAATTTCTTTACAATTGTTCTGTTATGTGTCAGGATTAGATAAATTTAGAACTTTTCCTCAAGCTTTTATGTCAATGTTTCAGATAATTACACAGGCAATAACAAAAAAAAATAATAAATGTTTATAAAAATTTGTTTTTAAAGGAAGGATGGACAGATGTTGTTGTAGAAATTTTACGTTCAACAAATGAATATTGGGTACCTTTTGTTGCAATTTATTTTGTTGGTTATCATCTTTTTGTTACTTTAATTGTTTTAAGTTTATTTGTTGCCGTAATTCTCGATAATTTAGAAATGGATGAAGAACTTAAAAAAATAAAACAATTAAAAGCTAGAGAAGAAGTAAAGAAGTCTTTTAAATTTAATTAATTTAAACATTTAAAGACAACAACAATGCGTACACAACTTCCTTGGAGATTAAGAATTTTCGAAAAATTTCCATCTCGCCCACAAATGATTGAATTTAGAAAAATGTAAATTTAAATAAAAATAATTTAAAAATAATTTTATTTAAAGTTCTCGAGAATTTCCTTTACCCAAAATGAGGGATAGTTTTACTCGCCAATTCCTTGTCAATTTATCAACAGATTTTCTTGTTACTTCGTCATCAAAAAAAGAAAATAGTAGAGGATATGTTAATAATAAAGAATTTCTAAATAAAATAACAAAAAATTCAAAAAAGGAAATAACAAAAGATAATCAAAAGTTTTTTAAATTTAAAAAACTTTTTTTTAAACAAACAAATCAAAATATGTCAAAGAAAGCTGTTGGAAATTTAATTGAGTTAATTTTTTTGAATAAATATTTTTTAAATGTAATAATATTTTGAAGTGAATCAAATAAACAACGTTCACTTCTTTCTGATACTTCTCAACATATTGGAGGAGTTAATGCTTGGATTAGAGGAGCAATTGGTGGAGTAACCAGAAGAAGGCGTGAACAAGAAAATCAGCAACAAAAAACATTTTCTTTCCAAAATGTTGAAAATAAAAAAGAAAATGGGGGAGATTTTAGTAAATTAATTGATACTGCCCCTAAAGAGAATACTGGAATTAAATCTGGGGGATTAGATATTATTGATATTAAAGCATTACAGAGGAAAAGGGATCAAGCAGAATTTACTAGGTTGTTTTTTCCTTTAAAAAAATTTAAAAAGAAATTTTAAAGAAATCGAATAGAAGAGGAAATGAGAGAAAATCATCCATTTTTTGATTCCCCTCTTTTTATTGTTGGAAGAAATTCAAGACTTAGAAGATGGTGTTTGTTTATTGTTGAAGCTAAATATTGTATTATAGACGAACAAATGAATGGATCTTTTCGTGGAATTAATAATTTTAAAAATATTTCTACAACAAGAAAACCTCTTGTTTCAGTTTAATTTTTTTCAAATTTAATTTAATTTAATAATTTATAATTAAAGTTAAATAAATATAAACAAATTAAACAATTAATTGGGTTACTTACTTATTTGGATTGGACAATGGTTTTAATTACTTTATTTTCATGTTTTGCTATGCTTTTTGAATCTCCTTGGCCTATTTCTGGCGAAAATATGATTTTTAAAAATAAATATTTTGAGGTTATTTGAAAGAAATGTGAACATATTTTAAGTTTTATAGGCTTGTGATTTTATTTTTGTGTTAGCAATGAGTATTGAATTAACACTTAAAATTGTTGCTCATGGACTTTTCTTTACCCCAAATGCTGTTGTACGTGATGTTGGTGGATTTGCTACACTTTTTATTTTTGGAAGTTCTTTATGGTATTTAATTTGGATGCCAAAATATGTTCAAGAAAATTCATTTGCACAATTTTTAATGATTTGTAGAGCTATGGTTTGGCAGAATATTTAATAATGTGTACATTTCTTCTTTTTTAGCGTCCCCTTCGGATTTATACTTTAGTTCCGCATATTCGACAAGTTGTCGTTGAACTTTGTAAAGGATTTCGTGAAATTCTTTTAGTTACAATTCTTCTAATTCTTTTTATGTTTATGTTTGCAAGTTTTGGTTTGCAATTTATTGGTGGAAAGTTAGCTGCTTGTAATGACCCAACAATCACTTCTAAGGCAATTAAAATATTAAATTTAATTTAAAAAAATTCTTTTTAGAAAAATTGTGTTGGACTTTTTGAACAAAAATTATTTGTTACGAGAATGGAAGTTTTTGGAAAAGTTCTTTATAATTTTTATATTATAATTTAATTTTAAAAAATAGAATGATGAAAATCTTCATCCAAAAATGTTAGTTCCTCGTGTTTGGTAAACAGATAAATATATTATTTTTAAATTTTATTTTTAACAAAAAAGGACAAATCCTCATAACTTTAATTTTGACCATATTGGTAATGCAATGCTTGCTTTATTTGAGACACTTTCATATAAGGGATGGAATGTTATTCGTGATATTTTATGGGCTAGACAGGCAAAAATAAATTATATATTTATTAAAAAAATATTAAAATTATTTTTGAGGGTCCTTGGGCTGTTTTATTTATTCATGTTTATGTATTTATTGGTTGTATGATTGGTTTAACTCTTTTTGTTGACGTTGTAATTGCTAATTATATGGAGAATCGGGGGACAGCACTTTTAACTGTTGACCAAAGAAGATGGCATGATTTAAAAGCTAGACTTAGAATGGCACAACCTCTTCATGTTCCTCCACGTCCTGCTGAATCCTCAAAAATTAGAAATCGGTTGTGGAAAAAAGTTTTTTAATTGAAATTTTGCAAATTTTATTAGACTTTATGAGTTAACAACAAGTCGTTCATTTAAACAATTTTATGCAATTCTTGTTGTTCTTAATTCTGCTACATTAGTAGTACCCTGGAGTGTAGAGGAAGAAGAACAACGTCGAACACTTTTATTAATATTTACTTCGTTTGCTGGTATTTGTTCTTTCCTTTTTACTGTAACTTTTAATTGGAAAAAAAAGTTTTTTAAATATATTTTAGATAGAAATTTTGCTAAAAAGTATTGCATTTACACCTCACGGATTTTGGCAAAGTCGTCGAAATCGTGTAGATTTATTAATTACTTGTGTCAGTATTTTTTGGTTAATTGCCCATTTTGGGATTAGCGAAGTTGCTTTACCTATTGTCTCTTTACCACCTTCACAGTTTAGAAGATTTACTTATACACTTGGTTATATTATTGGAATTTTACGTTTCTTTACTATAACTGGTAGAAAAAGTACTTTAAAAATGTTAATGCTTACAGTTTTGTGGTCTATGGTCAGATAATTATTATATTTTACTATAATTATTAAAGTAGATTTGGCAAGAAAATATTTAACACTAACTTTTGACTTGGCTAAGATTTCTCTCCAAACATTTTCAAATTTTTTCCTTTTGCCAAATTTTCAGAGCCACACGTAGAAATTTATAGGTTTAATATGTTTACCGCCTCAATTCATTAATAATCTTTTCCTAATCCTTTAGTTAATATTTCTTTTTAAATAAAAATTTTTAATTAAAAAAAGGTTCGTTCTGCATTTATTATCGCAGCAATGTTTCTCCTTATTTTATTTTATGCCTATGCTGGGGTTATTCTTTTTGGAACAGTTAGATATGGGCAAGCACTTTCAAAACATGTAAATTTCCGTTCAGGAAAACAAGCATTAATGGTTTTATTTAGAAGTATTACAGGAGAAGATTGGAATGGTTTTTGTGATTTAAATTTAAAAAAATATTCCATTTAATTAGATATAATGCATGATTGTATGCGTTCCCCTCCATATTGTTATTGGGCACCTTCTTTAAGTTATTGGCAAAGTGATTGTGGAAATTATATGGCCGCAATACTTTATTTTTGTTCTTTTTATTTAATAATTGCTTATATTGTTTTAAATTTACTTGTTGCTGTTATTATGGAAAATTTTTCTCTTTTTTATTCTTCTGAAGAAGATGCTTTGTTAAGTTATGCAGATATTCGAAATTATCAACAAGTAAATAATCTAAACCTTTCTCCTAGTTCTCGGTAAAACATTCCGAAAACACCTCATTTTGAGAGGTTTAATGAATGAATTTTTTGTGTTATAAGAGAGAGAGGAAGAGTTCGGATATTAAAAAATATTTTTAGGTCTGGAATATGGTAGATCTAGAACAAAAACATTCCATTCCTGTACGTCGAGTAAAATTTTTGCTTCGGCTACTTAGAGGCCGTTTGGAGGTTGATCTAAATAAAGACAAACTTCTCTTTAAACATATGGTTGGGAAATAAAATTGTTTTTTTTATTTTATATTTTTAGTGTCACGAAATGGAAAGGCTAAACAATGGGGAAGATGTTTCTTTCCATGATATTCTGAGGTTGAGAAATATTTTATTTATTATGGTTTACGCCTCATTATTAGTCACTGTTAAAATTTATTTTAGTCATCGTAATTTTAATTTTATAATTATTTTTAAAGTATGCTCTCCTATCGGAGTGTTGATATTCGTAAATCATTACAATTAGATGAATTAGTACAGAGAGAAGAATTGGAATATTTAATAGAAGAAGAGGTGGCAAAACAGGTAAAAAAGTCATTTTTATTTATTTTTTAAATTTCTTTTTCAGACAATTCGTGATTGGTTAGAATCTTGTTTAATTAAAAATAAACAATTAAAGAAACAACAACAAGAAACGGCAATGGGGGATTTACTTACACAAATAAGAAGTACTACAACAACACAAACTTGCCAAACAAAATTATTATTAAAACAACCAATAAGTCCTAAAAAACAAATTAAATGTGATAATAGAAAAGAAAGTTCTCCAAATAAAAAAAGTAGTGAAGTAAATTCTGAAATATTAACCTCCTCTTTTGTAAAGAATGAAGTAAGTGGGGGTTAGATTTTTATGAAATTTATATTCAATTGCTTTATAATCTCTTAATTTAGTCTTTTTTGCTTAAGCATTAGAAAGAAAACTAAAGAGGGAACTATTCTATTTATTGTTTGTCGAGATAATAAATAGACTCGTATAATCCTGAAAGCTTAAAAATCTAAAATTATTTTTAATTCTCTTTAAAAAAACATTTTAGGAACAACCAAATAAAGTTGCTGAAAAAGTTGATAAACGACGTCGTAGCAGTAGTATACCAGAATTAGTTGAGGTGTTTTTAATTGTAAATATTTTTCTAATTAAATTGAATTATTGAAAGGAGGCAAAACGTTTTGTTTGGAGTGGCCGACTAAAATCGTTACCACGTATAAATTTCGGTCGTCAAAGACAATTACAATCCACAAATACTTCAATAAAAGAGGAAGGAGTTACAGGAAGTAATAAACAAGTAATTATTAAAGGGATAACATTTTTAGTAATTAAATTTAGCCAGACAGACCAACAATTTCAATAATATCAGAATTAATTGCTGGGCAAATGTGTCAACAACAACAATTATTTGAAATTGCCACAAAAGATCAAAATATTTCTTTAAATAAAAATCAAATTGAAGAAAATAGAAAAGTAAAAGAAAAAAAATAATAAATTTATTTAAAAAATTATTAATATTTTTTAAGTCTTCCCTAAGTCCAAGGACAGGAAAAACACACCTTTCCCCTACAACATTTTCAATTAAACGAGAAAGGGAAGAAGAAACAGAAAAATTATCTGTAGAAGAAACAGATGTCCGTAGATTGTCTTTAGGTATTTTTTAATTTTTTGAATAAAAAATAACTTTTTCTTTAATTAAATCCTCTAATTTTTTTAAAAAATTGCCAGACTTGTAAGAAGGCAAATATTCTTGGTTTTAAATAATTCCAATAATGAATTAATTTATTTCTAGAAATATATCTCGATTTCCACGAATCACTAAATAAATCATAAATATACAGTCGCTGTTAGACTGTATATAATTTATATATAAAATTTAATTTTTTGGAATTAAAAAAACATTCTTTTAACTTTTGTTTTTCCAATAAATTTATTTAAATTTTTAGCTGCTTATTTGCAACAGCTTGATTCAACTAATTATTCAAATAAAAGGAAGATTCGTGCCACAACTCAACAACAGATAAATAGTATTAATGTAGATAATGTATTAGATTGGTGGGATAATATTGAATAAATGATATTAATTTTCTTATATATTTTATTTAAAAATGCTTTTATTAAAGAAATTAATTATTATTTTACATTATATTTACATTATATGACTCATTATACTCTGGATAGTTATTTTTTCAACTCTCGTTTAGGACTGTAATTAATCAAGGGACGGCTATTCCAACCCTTATTTCCGCCCGTTCATTAAGAGTTATCAATGCCCAGCTTCATCTTCTTATTTTCGGTCCTATATTTTATAATTAGTATTTAAATAGCACATATAATAACCATATAGGTTATTTATAATAAGTAGATAAATAATATTATGTCTTTACTCTTGAAATAATCACGTTAGTGGTTTGCTCAATAGATAAAAAATGTTGGAAAGAAAACTAGGAGGTAATTAAACGAGGGAGGACAATTTACTAGTATAATTATATATCGAGTAAACGAAGTAATTAATCAAGTACGTTAATCGCTTTTATTTCAAAAATTTTAACTTTAATAGGAATAAATTAATAAAAGTTATAGTATGTATTATTAATTTATTTAAATTTAGCCAAAAATATTTTAGTTTTTATATGTATATGTATTATATCCAATTTTAATATTTTCTTGTTTGTAGATTATATGTATGTATGTACTCATAATAGTTTTTATCCAGCAGGTTGTTGTCCATAAGGTACTCCATAATTTTGTTGGGGTGGTTGGCCGTATGGTTGTTGGCCGTATAGTTGTTGGCCGTATAGTTGGCCGTATGGTTGTTGGCCGTATAGTTGGCCGTATGGTTGTGCTGCATTAGTTTGTAAATACTGTGGGTTGTTATTTGTGAAATACTGTGGGTTAGTATTTGGGAAAAACTGTGGGTTATTATTTGGGAATGGAAGATACCCATTATTTGGCATTGCATATTGTGTAGGCTGCTGGTAAATTTAGTAAAATTAGTAAAATTATTAATTTATTAATAACAACCTGGCCATAATACATTGATGGTGGTTGTTGTCCGTAGATTTGATTTGGTAAATTATTCGGTCCGTATTGACCAGGAGGATAAACTCCCATATTTTGCATAATATTTGGGTCTTGATATCCCCCTTGCTGTAATTTCACACCTGTATTTAGACCAGTCGGATCATATTGTGGCATACCTGCTGGCATGCCGTAAGTGCCATCGTTTTGCGGGTATCCTTGTGGTGCTACCATATTGGTACCATAATTTTGATATTGTCCAGTTGGATCTTGTCCAATAGTTATTTTGATAGCATTAAAGATAGTTAAAATAAATAAAATAAACAAAACGACCATTAATTTGCTCTTCCCTAAAATATTTAAATTATTATTTGTTATAATACGAATTTTTCATCGAAAATTTTTATTTCGAAATAAATCCCTAATTTATATATTTACATCTAAAATTATATACACGCTCAATTCCCTATTATTTTTTAAATTTTCTGACTACTGACTGGGGGTAGGTTCCAGAGCGATACTCTCAATTTTATAACCCCCTTATTCTTACATACGATTTTTAATCCCATAGGAGGTAGATAAGTTCGAGATCCGACCGTATAATTTTATTCTTAAATTTATTAAATAGCTTATATGAATTAATAAAAATTTATAATGAAATAAAAACCCTTCAAGTTTTTTGTGATGTGGAATTGAAAGTTTTTTTTATTTTGTTTATTAGACGGTATTCATTTATGTATTGGGAATTGATAAATTATTGCCATTACTTAAATTTAATTTAAGCAAAAAAAGCTATGCAAACTTTAAAAAGATTTACCTTTCTATAGAATGCAGTAAAATTAGAGAAGAATAATTATTTAAAATAATAAGTAAAGTTAAAGGGTTTATCTTAATTATAGAAATAATTGAAATGACTGCGGCGCATGAAAGCAAATACTAAAAAAGACATTGAAACTAGCATAACAATTATTGTTACATCAATAAGAAGATAGGCCTTCGAAAGCTGCTGAGTTAACACGATTAAGGGGTAGAATCCTTGTCTCAGTCTCGAGTCTTGTCATGGTAAAGTTTTGTTTTTGGAAAGTTTTCGACTTTGTATATTAATTTTTTTTTATTTTTAGAATGTAGCTTTTATTCTGACGGTGACATATGTATATTTTTTTTAATTTTTACAAATTTATTGAAATTGAATTAAATATTTAAATTTCACAAATTTTTGTTCTTATTTATTTACAAAATCATTTTTAATATATACTTGTTATAACTATTTTATTTTGCAACATCTTAAATAAATAGTTAAGAAAATATCTTTTATTTTTATATTTATTTACATATATTTGGACATTTTATTTTCTTTTAATTTTAATATAAATACAAAATCTAGTTATTTTTACTAAATTATTTTTCTAAATAAAGATGATGATGCTCTCGATAAATAAAAGAAATTTAAGCATTTTTGTATATTTTATTTAACTTTATTTTTTAAATATAATTTTTAATAAAATGAATAAAATTTATTTTTATTTCTTTTTTTATTTGGGAATGTTTTTTAAAATAAATAAAAATTGTGTTTTTGGCCAGTGGGGTGAAATGGGAAATAGTGATGAAGGTTTAATAATTTTTTTTGATAAATAACCTAATAATTTAAATATAAACAAATTATCTATGCTTTATTAAAAGGTTGGAATGATGGAGGAATGGAAGGAATACAAAATCCAATCTTTCCAATAATTAATGCTGGTATTCAAGAATCAAATGTTAAAACTCAAGGAAGAAGAAATGGATTGGCTTATGGTTTTAATTTTTTTAATATGTAAAAACAAATGATTTAAAAAAAGATGAATTAAATGCATTAACTATTTTAAAAAATGCAATGGAAAAACGTGCAGAAGCAAATCGAAGACTTAATGAACAATTACAATTTTCTAGTAAACAATTGGACGAGGCTAAGGAAGCTTTAAAAATTACACGAGAAAGAATTGATGGTACTTTTTTAGAAAAATATATTTTTTATTTTTTTGAAGGATTGGAAAGTAAATGTGAAATGTATGGACGTTTAAAAAAAATTTTAAAAGATAAATTAACTGAACTTGAGGTAAAAAAGTTAATTGTTTTTTTTTTTTAATTTTATAAATTTATAAAGTATCTTATTGGTGATTCAACAACAAATAATATTATTGGACAAAAACAACAATTACAGCCACAACAAATGCAAAGAGAAGAAAATCAAAATAATGTTTGGATGGTTAATAATATATTTAAAATTAATTTAAATAAATTTTAAAAATAATTACCTATTTTATTTTTTAAGGATGGCGAATTTATGAGGTACATAATAACATTTTAATATAAAAACTGGAAATATTTTTTAAGAAGATTACGAATAAATAGACAAGGTTTAAATGATGAAATAAATAATTTAAATAACAAAAATTCTGATAATTTATCTTCTCAATTAAATCCTCCAAAAACATTTTCCTGTAATAATAACAATATTGGGGAACAAAGAATTAGTATAGAAACAGAAATTGATCAGGCACAGAAACGTATTCAAATGCTTAAAGGAATGGAACACAAAATAAGTGTTTCGTTATTTTTGGCTAAATTACTTTAATTTTTTCCTTGAATTTTTTAATTAAAAAGATTTTTTACTTCATTGTTTTTTATCATTTGGTTATAGTAAACATTTTGTACAGATGGGTAATTCTTCTCGTTATTATTTTTTTGATAATTATAAAAAAATATTATTTTTTTTCACAAACTTTTATCCATACTCGTTTTAATTAAATTTAAATTGTTTTATTTCCTTTTATATTTAATTAAAATATTTTTCCCTTTAATTAAAAAAATAAAAGAAAGCAGATCTTTTGATTATCCATTCATAAAGAAAAGAATGGAGAGAATTAAACCTGTTTAGCATTTGTAAATAGATTTAGTTGAATGAATAATTATTTATTAAAGTTATACTTTTTAAATATAAAAATAAATACATAAATTCTAAAATTGAAAAATATCCTTTTAATTAAATAATTTTTTTATTTTTTGAAAGATTATTTAAAACTTTCCAAAATTCGTCTCCAAAATAGTCTAGTATTTAATTATTTTCCTTTCCTCCCATTCATTTTATATTTTTTCATTCATTGATCAAAAAATATTTTTTCATGTCAATTAAATTAAAAATTAATTTTATATTTGGAACTTAATTAAATAAACAATAGGAAATAACAAACACATTTACAATATAAAAAAATAAAAATAAATCAGTAATGGTTTCAGCAATTGAAAAGCAAAAAAAAATTGTTTTTAATATTCTTTTCTTTCTAAATAAATAAAAATATTTCTTTTTATTTTTATTTTATTAATTTTTGCGCAAGCTAACACGTAATTTTTCTAGTTATAATAAAAATAAATAAATATTTTTTTGCAACAAAGAAATAAAAAATAATTCTTTTTTCGAACAAATGGATTAATTAATTTATTATTGAAATATTTAGACAACAAAACTTTAAATAAAAAAATAAATAAATGTTTTTGGTTAATATTAAATTATTTATTTTATTTTATGTAATTTTGCAATTCGAGAAAATTTGTGAGTAAGGGACTTTAATTAATTTAAAATATTCTTCTTCTCTCTAATATTTTTTTAATTTCCTTCAATTGTTTTTCTTTATTTAAAAATTTAAATCTACTTTCTCCCTTTATCGAACACTAAGAAAAGTGCAACAAATAAAATAAAAACTTTTTTCTACAGGGATCTGTTAAAAAAATTTGTATATTTATATTTTATATACCGTAAATGCTAAAATAATGTCCCTCTCTCAAATAATCACCCCCACCCTATTAATTACCGCCTAAAGTCAGGGATCGAAAAAAATAATTACCCCTCTTAAAAATAGTTATAATTAGCCTTTTTAAAAAAGTTCAAATAATTACCCCCTCCCTTTTAATTACCCCCTCCATCGAGAGGTTGAAACAATAATTACCCTGGTAATTAATTTAGCAAATACACAAGCCTAATTTAAAAAAAAATAAATTTATTTTAAATAATTCTTTTTGGAATTTTTTTCTGATTTTTAATTTAATTATTTTATAAATAAAAATTTAAGTTTCTGCTGTACCCGGACAAGTAATAATTAAACGTTTTTCAAAAGACCAATGTAAATTTAATCCTTGTTTAAATGGTGGAAAGTGTGTAGCTGGAAAAACAGCTTGTGATTGTCCTTCTGGATGGATGGGGAAATATTGTCATAGTTAAATATATTTTTTTAATATTTTTAAATTAAAAATAAAAGGACGTTGTAGAAATATTTACCAAAGTTGTGACAGATGGGCAATGGAAGAAAAATGTGAACTTGTTAGAACACAAGTATTTTTTTGTATTTTAAATTATTTAAAAAACTATTTTTTAGACAAATTTTTTTGATATAAATTGTGCTGTTTCTTGTAATTTATGTATTCCTGATCCAGCTATTAGTATTTAAATTAATTTTTTTAAATTAAATTAATTAAAGAATTAACACCAATTCCTTTACCTCCAGCATTAGAACCAATTCAATTTATGATGGGTAAATGGTACTCTCAAGTAATTTTTAAATAAATTTTTAAGGGAAAATATTTGTATTTATTTTAGGCTACAAAAGGTTTAAGATTTCCAACAGACATGTTAGCTAGTGAATATGAAGAATTATTAGATATTTCTCCTACACAAGTATTATATATAATTTAGAATTTATATTTATTTATTTTTTTTATGTTCCAATGTTTGGACCTCCTTCATTGAATTTAACGTAAATAATAATAATTATTTTTTATTTAAATTATTTAATTTTATAGGAGTATTTGTTGGAACAAAAATGGTAAAATAAATTTATATTTTTAAATTTAATCTATTGAAGATATACGTATTACTCATGGATTTGTTACATTAAAGCCAAATTCTGTAAAAAAATTTTTAGTAATTTAATTTAAAATGAAATTTATTTAGTATCCACCAGAAATAGCCATTTTAAGTACAGCTAATGAAGGACTTAATATGATTGAATTAGGGACTTTACAAAATCATGCTGTTACTCTAAATATTAGCTATATGTATGTAAATATATTTAAATTAAAAAAAAAGAATATTTTTTAATTTTAAAGGCAAGTTCACCCTTCATTAGACAATGATGTATTGCCTTTAGGGGTTTAAATACTTAAATTTAATTTTAAAATATTTTAATTTTTATTAAGGCAACTCGGCGTTTTAAGCGTTCAGGTCAATTACTTGAAATGACAGTAGCAAGGTTATTTCCAGGAAATAGAGTTTCTCAATTCAAAAAAATGTTTAAAAAAGTTAGAAATTATCCATTTTAATTTTTAAATTGTTTGAGAATATTAAAAATAAATAAATATATGTATATTATTTTTTAAATAAATAATTTCTGCGAGAATTTTTTATTAAAATAAATTATTCTGATTTTTGCATTATTTCAAAGGATTTTAATAGTTTTTGTTGACTTTCTTTGAATATTTCCCAACTTCAAATAAAATTTTGTGTTTTTCTCCGGTCAGTCTTTAAAATGTTTATTTTTGGTGTGTTATAGACTTGTTTTTATTAATTAAGGAAATAAGAGCATAGCGGCAAAATTCAAATAAAAATTTCTCAATAAAAGAAATTAGTGAATTAAGCATTGATTGCTCTTATGACAAGCTTATGAAATTGTTTATTTGAATAAATATTTATTTTTTTTTTATTTTTAATATTTCAAAATTTATTTTTAAATAAAAAATGTTTTTTAAATTAAATAATTTATTATTTATTTATTTTTTATTAATTTATTCAAATATTTTTTGTGTAGAAAAGGATCTTGGTAAATATTTTATTTTAAAATTGAAAAAAATTCCTAATTTTTTTAGATAAATTAGAAAATAATTTAATTTCTTTAAAAGGAGAAACAAAATTAGGGGAAAAAGAAAATCCTTTATTTTCAATTAATTATTGTTTGTCAATTGAAGAAATTTCAAATATTGAAATTAAAGATTATGAATTTTGTTTTTTTGTGTTGATAGAGCTTTGTTTGTGGGAAATTCCAGAAATTATTGGAGACAATAATTTAACATTATTTTCCCCAAAAAATTTATTTGATGATAATGGAGAAAATTTGGGAGGAATTTTGGCGAGAAAAATTTGGGGAAATTATAAAAATAAAAAAGAAAAATCTGTAAAAGAAAATTTTAATAAGAAAATAGAAATTGTAGAAAATTCTAAAAGAAATGAAATGAAAGGGAAAAAAATAATAATTGATAATATTAAAAGAAAAGGTAAAATGAGTGAAGAAAATTTAAATAATAAATTACTGAAATTTGGAGAAATTGAGAAAGCTAATAAATTAAAATTTGAAAATATTTTAAAAGAAATTCAAAGTATTTTGGGAAAAATTATAGAAAAAATTAAAAATGAAGGAAAACAATTAAATGAAGGTATGTAAGTATGTAGTTATATGTAGTTATAAATATTATAGGGAAGAAGGGAAATTAATTTAATCAGTCGGGGATTTTAATCAAAAGATTGATTTCGGTGAGCAGAAGAGCTGTAACTGAACTTCACTTTAAAATCCAAATTTTAATTTATTATTTTAGCGTTACTTCAAAAAGATAAAATTTCAAAAAGCAGCGAAATATTTGCTGTTAAAATGTTTCAAAATATTTTAAAGACAGCCGGGTTTAAATTAGCGGTAAAAAAAGAAAGGGAAATGATTTCAACAAGAAAAAAGTTAATAAAAGAATTAAATGACAAATACGAATTAATTTTGTTAATTACTATAGCAATAGATACAAAAATAAATCAAATTAAAAATAGTAGTGGTGAAGAAAATAATTATAAGGTTTTTCTTTTTTTGTATTTTTTAAAAAATAATTTTAAAGAATATTTTGGAAGAAATTAAACATTTGAGTTATCGCCGTATAGCTTTAGACAATTCTATAAATGAAGGGATTATTTTAGCAAGAGCTTTAAAAAAATATTATAAAAAAGAAAATAAACAAAATTTTGGATTAGTTTATTTTTCATTTTTTAAAGTAAAAAATGGGTTAATTCGTTTGGGTATTTTTAATGGAATTGATAAGGAAAGTGCAAAAAGTTTGGTTAAAAAAGATGTTAGTAAAACCAATGAAATTTATAAAATTTTGACTGGAAGAGAATTAATAATGGAAATAATAAATAAAGAAGAAAGGTTTTTAATTAATAAAAATTATTGCTTAAAAATATATAAATATTTAATTTAAATTTTAGTTTAAAACTAAAAACTAAAAAATAATAATTTAAAATAATTATTCCAATAAATTCCTGATTTTAATATTTTTTAATTTAAATAGTTCGGAAAATGTTGCAAGTTTTTTCGATAGTTCAATTCAACGTGATATTAATGTAACTTTAATAAGAATGATTGAATTATTAGCCCCTTTGTTTTTATATTATTATAAAATTATTGAAGACAAAGATATTTTAAATTATGGAAAGGAAATTAATTTTGAGGAAATCGAAAAATTTTTAAATGAAAATTTGGAAAAGTTAAAAATTAAAAAAGAAGAAAATTCCGAGAAAAAATTGGAAAGGTCGAAAACAGTCGTTTCTAGGAAAAAAGAGGATAAAAAGCCGATAATTAATTGTTTGGCGAGAAAATCAAAAAGTTGTTCCGAAATTAATTTATCTAAACAAACATTAAGTCAATTATTTAATTTGGATGATAGCAAAGAAAAAGAAAAAAATAAAGAAATATTAACTAATAATTTATTTTAGGTTTAAACTAAAAATTTATTTAAAAAAAAATATTTTTTGTTGAAAACAAGTTAAGTTTAAATATTTTTTTAATAATTATTTTTAATTGGAAAAGCATTCAGAAAATGACAGCAAAATTTTAAAAAAATATTTAGTTTAAATTACCTTATAAAATTACAATAAATTAAAATTAATTAAAAATTTTAACACAAAAAATTAAAAGTTGATTATATTTATTTATTTTAGTATCAAAAAAAAATATTTCACAATTTTATTTTTATTAAATATGTACAAAAAACAAACAAACACAACAATTTAACACTAAACATTTACTCTTTGTTTTAATATTTCTGTCTCAATTTGTTGATTATTATTTGTTGTTGTTTGTTTTGTTAAATTTAAAATTCTTTTTAAATATTTCCAAAACCTCCTCATCATTATCCAAAAAAGAAAAACAAAAATTCCAAGCAAAATAATTGCTATAAGTTGACATAATACAAGACCTAATGCTAAATGACCTTTCTAAATAGTAAATAAATTTTGAATTTTTTTAAATTAATTACTTGAATGAATAACCAAATAAAAAATCCTGCAGTTGCAGTTAAGGGTAAAATTACAAAACAACAAGTTTGGGTATCATAATTTAAACAAGTATCACATTCTGTAAATCCATTTCCATTCCCTCCATTACTTTGGTGATTTATTGATGGAAAACTATTTCGAAGTAATAAAAATGATGCCGACATTTTAATCAATTACCCTCCTTTCGAATAATTATTCCCTCTGGCGAGAGGTTTAAACAATTATTACCTTCAAGTAAATACGTGTATATTAAATAATTCGTAGAATCCTCTTTTAAAAAAATATTTTTAAAAAGAATAATTAAGTAAGTATATTAATCCTTTATTTAAAAAATAAGTTTATAAGAATCTCTAATGGTTTAAGGATTTGTGGAAAATTAATGGAGAAAAAGCCAGCTTTTTTAAAGGCGGCATTTTTTTGTTTTCTCGTTTTAAAGTGAAATTGCCATTGACGAACGCAAACAACCACTCATCGATTAACAATATGTATTATTTACTCTGAAAAATTTTCTTCAAAAAGAATATTCGTGAGAAAAAATAAGATGAATTACTATGTATGAAGTAGTCCCTCCAGAAATGTTAAACAAGAATAAAATTAAAAATATTTTGGAGTGTATCTGAATTAATTTGACATATTTTGCCTCATAAAAATAAAGTTACTATATGAATAATAAAAGTTGTTCGGGTTATAATCATAAAAACCCTCATCGGTGCCAGTCTTGTTGGAATATACCAACCCGACTAGTCACTAATCTCTTTCGTCTGTTCCAACCTTCTTATAATTGTAATAAGGTGTTATTCAAGCAGTATGTATGAACTTAAGTCGTTAAAGGTCGTCAATCAAAAATAATTAACTTATGATTCCTTAACTTATGATTTAGGGCATGTGAAGAGGAAGATAAAAAGTGCATTAGCGGCATTTAAATAAAAAAATTTATTTAGATGTTATTTTTAATGATTGATTAATTTGCTATAATAACTTAAATATTTAATATATTATTTTATTTTATTTATTCATAAAATTAAAAAAATATACATAATTTATTAAAGTTTTATTTAATAATTTTAATTTTAGTGTAAATATTTCCTAATTAAAAAAGTTGACAACACACAATCAATTTTATTTTTAAATTTAAAGAAATCTTTATGTTTTTAAATATTTTTTTATTAATTATTTTACTTCCTTCAATTATTTATTGTGTATATATTCAATCAGAAATATCCGATTCAAATTTTAAAGGTAAAGGTCCATTAAAAGAACTTCATGATCGGGTCTCGGCTTTTATTTCTGATAAATTTAATGTAAATATCAAAAAATTTCCTAATTTGTCCTTAAATGTAGAGGAAAAAGAGAAAAATAAAATAAATAATAAAGAAATTAAAATAAAGGAAATGGAAGGAAATGAGGATGAAGGATTGAAAAATACGAAAAGAAAAACAAATTTAATAAATTCTTTATTAATGCCAGAAAAAGCTATAATGAACAAGTATTTTTTTTGATAAAGTTTAAGTGTAGATAATGGAGCTTATAAAATAAAAAAAAATTAATATTTTTTAGAAAAGAATGGGAACAAATGTTAAAAGAAGATCCCATTCTTGCTGATTGCCTGTTCAAAATGGATATTGAAAAACAAATTAACAATATATATTACCAAATACGTTGGTTACTTGAATCTAGAAGGTTTATTTCAACAGCAAGTTCTGATGATTATATTAAATTAAAAGATGTAACTAAAGATTTAAATGAACTTCAATTGGATAATAAACATTTACTTTATTTAAAAAAAGTTTATAAAAGACTCGAAAAAAATTTTAAAAAATTACAAAAATCGGTAGAAAAAGAGGAAGAATTAAAAGAAAATGAAAGAATAAATAATGATTATGTAAGCAGTGGAAGTGATCAGGAAATTAAAGAATTAAATGAAAGTAATTTAAAAAAAAATTAAATTTTTTAAGAAAGATATAAAAAATATAAATTTGAGTTTATTATAATAAATTTCAATTTTTTATTTATTTTTCTAGGAAAAAGAAAAGGGAAAATGAAAGAGGAGGATTATAATACAATGAAAATAGAACAAAGTAAAGCAAATGAAATAATAGGTTAAATATTTTTATTATTAAAAAAAAGATTTTACATAATATTAAGTAAACTAATATTAAGACGCGCAAGCTTAGAAATGCAGATAAAGTATATATACACTTGGAAGACTAGTTTATAAACCTATTGAAAAAATATATTCAGACTTAAATGGGAGTATATTCCTACATAATTTAATAAAATTCCAACGCTTTCCATAATGTACTTAATAAACCACTAATTTTCACTAAATATTCCAGAAAAAGAACCTTTTGTTCCAACAAAAATTCATTTAAGTTTAATATCAGAATTGTTAAATTTCCGCAAGGAATTAAATGAATTCACAGTGAAAACAAAAATTGAGCTGTGGACAAGACAAAGCTTTAAATCATTTGAATTATTGGGAAAAGAAATTGAAGAAAATAGTGAATTTTTAATGGTCTTAAAAAATACTCCTATTGAAAAAATTGGGTATAGATCAAATATTTATCAAAATATTGATAGCAAAATTAAAGAAATACAAAACGAAGAAGAAATTTCTTTGGATATAGTATCTAATGAATTAAAAAATATTGCTGAAGTAGATGAAGATATTCAGAGATATCTAAATGTATATTATTTAAATATTATAAAAAAAGGCTCAATTGGTATAAAAATTCATTGGATGGGAGATGGAATAAAATCGTCAAGGAGTGAAACCTAGGGTTGGTCCCCGAGCCTTCGGGGTTGGAAAAGTCGGGGGTCGGGGTTTTCGGGGTTGACAAAGTCGGGGTCGGGGTCGGGGTTGCTCAAATTGTTCGGGGTCGGGGTCGGGGCTGAAAATAATGTCGGGGTTCGGGGTCGGGGTCGGGGGTCGGGGTTGAAGTGAAAATTTACAAAATCCAGCATTTTTATCCAAAATTACTGTTCAAAATCAACATTTTTATTAAAAAATCAACTTAATCTTCATTATCTTCACTTTCTGTATCTAATTCGTGATTAGTTGAAGGCGCAAGAAGTACTTTATCCAAGTTATCCTTCATAATCTCCAAAATCCCCAAACCCACCAGGAAACTCTTACTCCACCTCTTATGTAAAGGGATTGAGGGGATATGAAGGCATATCAGAGGATTAAATGGATATAATGGGATTTAGAGGGATTTGACGGGATATCGGGGAGTTGCAAGGATAACGGGAGAAATCCATCTATCCATCAATTTCTCCTAAAGCCTCTGTATCCCTTCATTGAGTCTAGCGCCGCAGGCAAAAATTTTGAGAATTTTGGAAGGTCAAGAGCCAGATTTCTTCCATTTTCGGCGCCGCAGGCAAAAATTTTGAGAATTTTGGAAGGTCAAGAGCCAGATTTCTTCCATTTTCGGCGCCGCAGGCAAAAATTTTGAGAATTTTGGAAGGTCAAGAGCCAGATTTCTTCCATTTTCGGCGCCGCAGGCAAAAATTTTTAGAATTTTGGAAGGCCAAGAGACAGATTTCTTCAATTTTCTGCGCCGCAGGCGAAAATTTTAGAAAATTCATGACTAGTTTAAAATTTCTAATATTGTTTCAAGTTTAAAATATTTAAAAAAATAAATTTGCAAATTTAAAATCAAGATCATAGTTTAAAAATATTTATTTTCGAAAAGAAAAATTTTCTCAGCCTTATTTCCATCCCTGGATTCGAACAACATTCCTATCAAAATAGCTAGATGGCTGAAGTCAGTTAACCTAACCACTCAACCATCGACCAACAAAAGGAAACAGGAGAAAATATAAATATTCCTTTCCCTTTTCCTTCATATATTTAGCATCAAAGTCCCGATCCCGTTCCGATCTCTAGTTAATTAATGCAGTTTGAGTCGGGGGCATAAAAATTTTTCGGGGTTCGGGGTCGTCGGGGTCGAACTTTCGGGGGTCGGGGTTTTCGGGGTTGGGAATGTCGGGGTCGGGGTCGGGGTTTTAGGTCAAAAAATGTCGGGGTTCGGGGTCGGGGTCGGGGTTAGTCGGGGTCGGGGACCAACCCTAGTGAAACCACAACAGAGCACAATCGACTGTGCCACTATCCAACCTGATGAGTAATTATTTTTAGGTTTTTCGGTTCGAACCTAACCGGAGAATAGAAATCCAAAAATTTCTATCTGCTTCGCTAGAACGGCGGAAATATGATTGAAATAAAAAAGTTACAAGAAAAAGTTACAAAGATTTCGGTTCCTGACGGAAATTTTCAGATTTTCCTAAGCTAAAAATCCTCCTTTTTAGCGCCTTAGACTAATTTTTTAACTTCAACATTTAAATAATTAAAATAAGGAAAATGGCAGGTATTTTAAATAAAATTTAGAATTACCTGAAAATAAATTTAATTCTCATTATATATTTTTTTAATCACAAAACAGAATTACCAAGAAATACGTAATTTTGATCTATTAAATAATATGTCCAAATTTTTATTCAAAAAATTAGATGAAACCTTTCGTTCAGAAAATGATGATGTTTTTGATATAAATATGGGCATTATTTGGCTTTTATCTAGAAGATTAATTGAAGAACAACTTTATAAGATTTTTCGTAAAAACCAAAGTTTTAGAGCATTTATGCAAAAAGAATTAGAATTAGATGTAGGGGAACATAAACTAATGATTCAAAAAATAAATGAATGGAATGAATTGCCAAAACAATTAATTCCAGGTGTTTATGAAGGAAAAGATTCAACTTCTTTAAAAACTCGAATAATTGTTAATTCAATGAATTTACTTTTTATTTTTAAAAGACTTAATAAAGAAAATCATAAAATAGATAAAGATTATGGACCTATTTGGGAAGAAATTGAACAAAATAATCATGATGAAAATAATGAGGATAGAACAAATGAAGAAGAAATTAATGTAAGAAAGGAAATTGAAAACAATTCTTTACCAAAAGAAATTGAAAGTATAAATATATAATTTATTATTTTATAGAGTATTTTTATATTTAATTTAATTAAATTAATCTCCAAATTAGTTGGGGAAGTCCTCGAATAATTTTGGTTTTGTTCACTTTAAGAGTGGTAGATATGGGTGAAGCAAATCATCGTTATTTTAGAAATAATTCGGTCTTAAGAGTGATGAAATAGGGTAGAAAATAAAGAACGAGTCAACGAGCTCTAAGGGTTTCTACAAGGTTGGAAGTAAGCTAAATTGAATAAATTGAAAATATAGTTTAAACTACTCGAAATTTTTTAAATTTATTTTTTAAGAACTTATATATGAACAATACAAATCGTTGAAGAATAATAAACAAAAAGAAAATGAAAGAAAATTGGTGAAAAGGAAGTTTCCGGGGATTAATATTAAAAAGAAAATAAAGAAGGTTAAAAGTATTTTTTCAAAAGCTTTTGGCATTAAAAAGAAAAGTCCAAAAAGAAAAATAATTCCAAAAACAAATTCTTTGTCTAATAAAGAATGGATGAAATTAATTGAAGAAAGAATTAAAAATCCAAATAAAATTAAAGAAATTAATTTTAATCAACCAAAACAGCCAAAAAATAATAATAAAGAAAGAGAAAATGGACACCATAACTCAAATGAAGATAACGCAGAAAGTAATAATAATGAAATTAATAAAATACAAAAGAAGAAAAGAATTATATATCATGGAGAAATTGAAGAGGAAACAAGTGAAGAAGAAGAGGAGGAAGAAGAGGAAGTAAATTAATTAATTTTAAATAAAATTTATATTTATATAATTAAGTTCAAGCTGCAACACAGAAGCCGAAGGAATAAAATTGAAAAAGCCGTTGATAAACCCGAAACAAGCCAAAATAGAGAGCAATTAAAGTTTTCTCCACCCCAAGATGGTTAGTAGTTAAAATTATATTTTGTGTTTATGTTTTGGTGAAATTTCTCAAGTAATTATTTATTCTCGAATTTGTGCTTGATAGAATATTTATGAAAACATTAGGGAAATATTACAAATAATAAACTAGAAATATTTTTTTAAAAATTTTGGTGTAATTTAGTTGCAGATGAAATAGAAAAATTCAAACAAAGAAATTTAGTTGGAATATTAAAGAAGAGTTTATCTATGTGATAGTTTAGTCTTAACAATTTTTGTAATATGTAGTTGTAATCTTACTTATTTTTGTAAAACAAATAAACATGGGGTTTTAAAACTTGTTTTTACTAAAAAGGGGAGGGGGTTGTTCTCCGCAAAATAATTCTAAAACTATATATTTAACATAAATATATCGAAATTTAGAAAGAACATACAAAATTCTAACACAAGCTACCGAGCGATTGAAAAAATTTCAAAAAGAAAAACATTCGAAAGGATCACTTTGGTCAAAAGGAATTAACAATTTGAAAAGAATTAAAGCAGATAAATAAAACCTAAATTTTTTAAATTCTTTATTATTATCACACGTGTTCGAGAGGACTTTTAAAAATATCATAGGATTTAGAAGGATATTAGGGGATTTGGAAATTTGTGGGGATATTAAGGGGATATTGCAATTAAGAAGGAAAAATAAGGAGATTTCTCGATATCTCCTACAAATTCCAAATTTGTCAATACCTCCTCCAAGCTATCTTATTGTTAGACCCTCTTAAGCCTCAAAAATCCAAATTTTTTATGAGAGTACCTAAATTTTCTTAATCCTTGATATCTTTCATTTACTCTCATCCTCCTATTCAAATGTATTTATTCCCAAAAAGCAACTCAAAATTTCGCCTGCAGCGTCGACCTCGCAATATTTCACAACAGGATATGAAAAATTGATAAATCCTTCAGTTGGATTTTTTATTTGTTCGAGATTTATCAATTTTTCTTGTAAAATTTATTCCTGAAAAAATCTAACTTTTTTTTACTAAATTTTCTCATATTTTTCCGTAAACTAAATAAATAAAATTTAATCAACCAAAACAAAAATTAGCCATCAAAATAAATAAAGCGTTATTACACATGTAAAAATAAAAATACATTACTATATTTTTCAATGTAAATATAATATTTTCAGTATTTTTAAACATAATATTTTTAAAATTTATTTGCCCTTAACCTCTAAACAATACCCTTCTTAATTTGATTAAAATAAAAGTTAAGCACATTATTTGAATGATGCCAACGAGGATGGTCAATATTTTTATGCCAAAAAGGAAATCCAACCAATAATTGACGTTTTGCCTTTAAATTTTAATTAAAAATATTTTTTAATTTTTAAATTTACAATTTTATCATTTTGATTACTCAAAAGTGATTTTTGTTCGTTTCCTTGTTCTTCATCGTCTTCTGAACTTGTTATATTCTCCAAATATTTCATTGCCCATTTACTTGCAATTGGAACCGAATTAATTTTAATATTTTGATCATCATTTGAGAATACCTAAAATGATTTATTAATTTCTAAAATATCTAAACAAAGAACGAACAAAAAAATAAAAAATTTTGCCTAGTCTTCTAAAATAAAAAAAAAATTTGTCAATGCTAAAGAATCAAAATCTTCTTAACCCTCCAAAATGGCGTTAAAAATATGTAAAATTTTGCACTAAAACAACATAGTGAATTAGAGTAGTGAATTTCGTTTAAAAATTAATCCTGCCTGCGTTTACATGATTATGCAAGAAAGAGAATTCTTCTTAACCCTCCAAAAACCTGACTATTATAAATCCGCAAAAAGTAGGCAAATAATTATTTGTTTTCATTGACAAATAAACGTTTTATAATAAATTTTACCTTTTTATTTAAACCTCCACTACCACTACTCTCATAACATTCCTCACTATCTGTCCAATCAGCCTTATTACTAGCTTGATTTTTTTGATCCAATTTTCCATTTCCCTTGTTTTCATTTTTCGTGACTTTTAACTGGGGATCCACACAATTTTTTCCTTTTTTATTTTTCTTAGTTTTTTGTTTTCCTTGACGCTGTTCATTCTTCTTGTTTTGAAAGTTTCTCTCTTTAAAATATTTTTAAATCAATATTAATATGTAATTACCTACGATTATTGCCTTGGTTGTGATGTTTTTGCCGTTCAGTAATTAAATCTGAAATAGAATTTTATATAAATTTGAACAAATAACTTTAATATAAATTAATAAAAACTAATACTTGTGGCAATTGGAAAGTCAATCTGCGGCCTAGAAGAAACAAAAAATCGACGAGCAGCTTCTTGTCTATCACGAAGAATGTTAAATCTCTTTTGGAAAGAACAGCGTAAATCAGGATCCATTTCAAAAGGCATTTCATCAATTGGCCAATTTGTGCCATGATTAGTCCAGAGAAAAGACTAAATGTAAAAAATTGACATAAATAAAAAATAAATTGACCTTCCATTCTTCTGCTGTTTTTGAATGGCGAATTTGTAACAAATCATTTCGACTATAATTAATCGATCCATCAATAGAAGAAAGGCTCTTAACATCAGAAGTCTTAGATATTTTTGAAAGCAATGACTGAGGCATTTGTGTAATAAGTTGTTTTAAATCGCTAACATTGCCGAAATCTTGAATACTGATCGACTTAAAAAAGTTAAAAAATATAGATTTAAGTTATAATAAAATTGGCAAACATCTGTAAGCGGATCCTGTTGTTCACCAGAACTAGATTTGCTGACAACCAAGCTCTTATCTATTTCACTATTCTTTTCTATATCCTTTTCATTTGAAGATACATTGGTCAAAACTTTCTGTTCATTAACATCATTTTCTTGAAAACTGGAATTTTGACTAAAAAATTCTTCTTCGTCACTAACTTCCAAATTATCTTGATTTTCGTTAGGTGAAAGATTTTCATTTTCAAGAAGCTCTGAATCGGAATCATCTAAAGAAACACCATCATCCTGAAAATTAGCTGTCCTCTCACATTCATTTTGGCAAGAAGAACCCACTGAAAGTGATTCTTTTGAGTTGCTGTGATTGTCCTTTCCAATATTGTCAATCTTTGATTCCTTTTTTAAACCCTAAGGATGTAACAGAAATAAAAAATGATAAGAATATAAATTTAGTCGATGAGAAAAATATATAAAACATACAAGTAAAGGTGGCGTCGAATCCCGCAAACGAAAATCCTCATCCTGGCTTGAATCTGAACATCTATTTTGATGAACTTCGTCTTTGTCAACAACTCCTTCAAAAACGCTCTCAAAAGATGGCACCTAAAAAACATAAAAATTTATATGTATATGAAGATAAACCTCAGTTGATTTTGGCGGACTACTAACACAAACAAAATCTTCATCATCACTTGAAATTGAGGCATACTTTGGAAATAATTCATCCAAACTAGGCTGTGTTTGTGGAAAACCTGCCTCCAATGTAAATTTGGAACCAACAGCTGGTTTATTAAACGAAAGAGATGCAGATGTCTTAAAAAGATGCAATTCTGTTAAAAATTCAGAAAAATGAACTGTCGAACCTTATTAGTGTGCGGAGGTGAAGCTTCGGCCCGAAAATCCTCATCATGACTGCAAAATGAATCATTAAGCATTTCTTTATTGTCAATATCAAGTTTTTCCTGAATATCTGTTTCCTAAAAACAAAATACATTAATATGCCACACCGTCACAGAAATATCGCATGCAATCAATCACGCGTATTAACATAAAAAAATAAACCTTAACTCCAGAACAATTTGAATCGTTGTCACAAATAAAATCTTTGTACTCATCATCATCAGAAGTACCAAGCATTTCCTTTTGCTGTGATAGAAGTGTCTGTTCAACTTCCGGTAATTTTAAAAAATTTGTAAATTTATCTCCCATAGCTAAATAGATGAACGCTTAAAAAATGAATATAAGGAAATATACAGTACTATGTATTTTAATTTACTAGGATATAACTTTTTGTAGGTCGATCTTTCAATTGATATATTAATTATCTCAATTGATCAAGAATTGAAAAAGTTATGGCCCAAAATACGGCTCTCTGACTCAATTGGCGGGACTCAATGATCCTGTTCCGCGAATAATTGTTGATATTCGGGTACAGCCCAAGTAGGCGCACGTCCATAACGGGCAAAGCCATAGCTTGCTTCAAGATTTCCGATTCCTCAAAATATAGTAGTAAACGATTCCTCTCATCGAGCTAAAGAGAATGGTACCGAAATTGATAAGGGCCAGAAATGTTCAAGCAAGTTATGGCTTTGCGCCGTTATGGCCGCGCGCCTACTTGGGGGTGTCCCTTGATATTCGCCGCGGATCAACCAAAATTGACCTTGTCGTTCACTACCAGATTTAGTTTTAGATATTTTTCTCCAATTTTTACTTTGAATATTTTCAACCTTAATGAATTTTTATTCTGAAACAAACTTCAATCCAAACTTCGAAACAGACTCAATGCCGCATACCTCAAGTTCATTTTTGACATGCAACACGACTGATTTAGATAAAGAAGCGAATAATCCTGTTTCCTCAAAGGCACTCAGCAGTTCTGGTAGTAGTAATCAAAATGTTTGTGCACATTGTGGTTTTGAAATTTACGAACCAATGTATTTTTTATAATTCTTATCAAATTTTTAAAATTTCAAACAGATTCTCTAAAGATAGAGCTCCAGTTATGATTACAAATTTACCACATCTTCCATTACATGACGCTGCTTTAATGAATAAAAAAGATGACAATGTTAAATTGTTTCGATCACATGATGAGGACACCTCTGAATGGATATTTTGTGATATTTGCCGTAAATGGTTTCATGCAAAGTTAATTTTTAATTTAAAAATTTCTTTCCCTTTTATTTCAAAAATTAAAAAATTTTTTTTTAAGTTGTGTAGATATTCAGCAATATGAGATGCCATTAATTGATAAATACCATTGCCCAAGTTGCCGATTTGAACATGGAGATAGTATAAGTAAATGATTACTTGACTATACTTTTGTGTTTATTATTCAATTTTAGTGAAGGTAAAGAGGCTTTTCCATCGTTATGTATTTGATGACGAGTCACAACGTACTTTACCTATTCAAATTGGGACGGAAGCTTGGACACACAATTTCAAAAATGAATATAGAAAAATTCCAGAAGTGTATGTTTTCAATTATTTTTAATAGAATTTTTCTAATTTTTAGTACACGTGAAATGATTGATCTCTATGAGGATGGACGGCAATTAATGCAAAATTTCAATTTTTTGTCAAAATGGACCAAACCTATAAAAGTCAAAAACTGTAAAGGTCTCGGCCTTCGAATGCCCGATGATCCATATTTTGATATTTTGGATGTCATTAAATTACTTGGTAGATTTGTAATGTTTCAATTTTATTTATTCCTTTTAGGTGGGCATGTTTTAGTTGACACTATCGATGTATTTGCACAACAAACTTATACAATGAGTTTGGACAGATTTTATGGGTTATGGAAAAAGCGTATTCGTGATCGTCTTTATAATATTCTTTCGTTGGAATTTTCTGGAACCAAGTAAGTTAAGATTGTTATTACTCCCTTCCCCGTCCTTTTACCCAGAATTTGTTTTATTTGAGTCAAAATGTACAGATGATTTGTACTTATTCGACTTATTTTTATTTTTTCAAATTCATTATAATTTATAAATTTTTAGGCTTTCTGATATAGTTAGAAGTCCTTCAATTGTTCGAGAACTTAGTTGGGTTAGACGTTTCTGGCCGAGAGAAAGTCAATCAGAGTTGCATCAGGAGATATCTCTTGATGATATTTACACATGTTTTTTTTTAATTTAGTTTCCAAGCAATCCTTATTTTTAGTTGACGAAAATCCAACATGGCAAAAACATTTTGGTCGGGCAAATGAATCAGATCATCAACATGAGAGTTCAAGGCCTTACGTTGAGAATTTCTGTCTGCTGGGGATGCGAGGGAGTTACACTGATTTTCACATTGATTTTGGCGGTTCTTCTGTTTGGTATCACGTTTTTAGGGTTTTTTATATAATTTTATTAATTAAATTAAATCATTTCTATTAGGGCTCAAAAATTTTCTTTATTGCCCCTCCTACGCCTGAGAATTTACAAGCTTTTCTTAATTGGCAAAATGATAAAGAGCGATCGGAAAAGTTTTTTGGTGATCTTTTACCGAATAATGGAAAAATATATCGTTTGGAGGTTGGGGAACGAGAGACATTATTACTTCCAAGCGGTAAAATTTTTCAATAAAATCGAAAAAATTTAATTTTTAGGTTGGATACACAGTGTTTATACTCCTGAAGACTCGATTGTATTCGGCGGTAATTTCTTGCATTCGTTAAATGTTGATTTGCAATTGAGGTAATTACAATAAATTCATTTTTTGACAAAACGCAAAACAATTTTTTTTTAATTTAGGGTTTATGATATGGAACTCGCCGTTGAGACTGATGAACGCTTTAAATTCCCTTTTTTTGAATTATGTAATATTTATGCAGCTAAGAGCTTTGCCGAATCGATAAAAGGTTTTTAAAATAATTTTTCATTTATTAATTTTACTATAATAGATTGCACAGAATGTGGACAACTAGCAGATCAATTCCAAATTAATGTGGCTACTTTACTTCTTGAAAAGTGTAGTAAATGGATTCAAGAAGCGGACAAATTTTCAATATTCAAGGGAACATTGAAACAGTTGGAAAAACAACTTGAACGGCAAACAAATCTTGAACGACGAATGAAGTTTTATTTTAGTATAAATTTTGTTATTATTTTTTAATTAGGGCTCATAATCCAGCGATTAATTTAACAAGTATGCCTGCAATTTTACCATCTTCCCAGTGTTCACCTTTAAGACAAACAGAACTTGAGATTCAAGATTTGGACAGCAGTTGGGATCAGGATGATGTAGATGATTGTAATGAACAAGAAGATGATTTTGAGCCTATTGCTGATGATTCTGATAATAACTCCGATTCTGTGAGTATTTATATCTTTATTATTTATCTTTAAGGCCCGAATTTGCAAAATTACTTTTTTATTAAGAGAACAGAAGCTGGAAAAGAATTATGCATAAGTCAGCAACCTTCGACTTCTGCAAATAATGTGACTGGTCTAGTAAATGCTGTTTCTGATGTTGATCCCGAAAGCCATATTCGTCTAAAAATTAAGCGTATATAAAATTTATTGCCTAAATTTACATTTTAATTTTAGTGCCCTGTTGGCATCAAAAGCCTGACAATGAGAAGAAACAAGTTAATAATGATGTAGTCTTTAACACTTTATTTATTTAATTTGCTAAAATTTAAATTTAGAATGTTATCGCGGACGAGGATGAGGCAGATATTGGTGCAATGTTTAGTGGTAGATCAATTCATGGGCGTCAGATTCGTCCAACTTCTCGGATTTCAACATTAGGAGGAATTACTATGAGTAAATTTTGTAATATTTGCCATTTAATTTTTAAACATTTTTAGGTGATCAGAAAAATGATGTCTTCGATTTTATCTCTGGAACTGCTTCTATTACCTCTAAAAATGTTGGCCATAAAGATTTCATATCAACATTTGCTCTTAAAGAGCGCCCACAAGTACACCTTGCTGATAAAGCTGGTTATTATTTTATATAATTTTTTCACTTATAAAAATATTTTTAGCTGAGAAAAACTACAAAAATGAATTATTTTTGCCTTTAAACAAACAAAAAAGAAAGAAAATGAATTCAAATTGCTCTAACATTGATTTTTTCCCAAACGATTTATTTACTTCAACTTCAAGTACCTCATTAAATAAAGCAGATTCTGTGATACAAAAGAAACCAAAGAAAACTTCAGCAGTTAATTCTCGTGAACGTCTAGCAAAGAAATTAGGCTTAATGCGTAAGAAGTAATATCTCATTTTGTATTTTTTGTCCTTCTGTGATTAATAAGGTCCTTTATTCAAAACTCTTCCTATTCTAAAATTTTTAATTATAATATTTGGTATTGTATTTAAATTTATGTTGATGAAATTTTATTTTAATGATTATCCTCTACATATATCTTCCCATTTCTTTCACATTTTCTATTTTTTCACATGATTGATAGTTACCTACTTTGTTTCATTATTTGATTTTTTTGTATATTAAAATTATAATTAAATTCTTTTTTTATTAAATTTGTGTATGTAAACTCTGACAATTTTCTTATTTGATATTTAAATTTTTAATTTGTTATTATATCTTTTAAATAGTAATTAAATGGATAATGCACTGGAGTTTGTAAATTCTAGATTAGGAACTCAACAATAGTAAGGATTTAGTTTTGTGACAAAAATGGGAGTGGATTTTTAATTTTTTTAAAATAAGTGAATGTGGTTAAACATTTAATTTTTGGATGAAAAAATAAAAATTATAAAATTATAAACGACAAGGGAATATCTTAAAATATTTTCTAAATTAAGTTGGGATAAATTTTATGATGAAGAGTTGGCTAATTTTGAGGAAAATGGTGGAGAGGGAGAGGCGAGTTTTTATTTTTCTCTTTCTTTTTGTTAAAAATTATATTTTTTTAGATCTGGTTTGGTCGTTTATGCGAGGCTAAAATGGTTGAATTTTTAATTAAGAAAGCACCCAAGGATGCAGTTATTTGTGATATTGGAACTGGGAATGGGTCGGTATTAAGAAAATTGGTAAAAATAATTTTGAATAAATTGAAATTATTTTAATTTTTTTAGAGTAATTGTGGTTTTTTGAATTTATGTGGAATTGATTATTCTAATAAAGCTATAGAATTGGCAAAGAATATTTCATCTAAAAATGACTCGAATACTAAAATAAAATTTCTGGTTATTTAAATGATTATTAAAATTATTAAATATTTAAAGTTAGCAAATATTAGTGAAGATAAATTGGAAAGTGAATTGA